AAAAAAAGCCAGTCCCCTGGGGGTTGGGGGAAAGAGGCTGGAGAGCGGTTCCGCTGCAGGGAGGCCAAATGGACTCCGGCGGCGCAGCGGAAAAGCCAGCTACAGCGGCAACAGCGGGGCGACTGGGGAACGAGGATTTCAGGAGAGAGGGTGTGGATGCCGGCTGCACCGTGTTAATGTCCTGGGTGCGATGGCCACATGAGGTCTCTCGGGAGGGTGTCCTTGTCTTTCTGAGGTGCACACGGGATGCTGGGCTATAAGGGCCAAGCTGTCTGCACCCCTTTCTCACGTAGTTCAGCAAAAACACATTTACGGGAAAGAGAGACCACGTACTGTACATGGGGGTGTGCATGGGGGTCATGCCATTTTTCTGAAGGACACAGACCTCCACGCCCCTGCAGCCCAGGGCAGTGAAGTGGTCTGGGGTGCTTCCCGCTCCCCCACCTCCAGGCTCTGCATCCCCTCCCATCTCTGAGCTTTTTTCTCTCTGGCCACAAGATGTCTCCGTGGGAGACTACTAGACGGTGATTTTCTTTCGTTAAAGTTTCTAAGACGTGAATTAAACCATTGCCCTTTTTCTCCGACCCGCTGCTCTTTCTCCCGCTCCGTGAGTGCGCATTCTTTTCTCTGACGTGCTCCCCCTGGTGTTTTCTGGGGGTTCGCCCAGCCCACTTTGCCGCCTACCATGGAATCCCCCATGAGAAGGTCTCTGCTGCCCTCTGGTGGTCATTGCCTACAACACAGACCCCACTCTCCAGGGCCAGAAACCTAAAAAGGCTTTGCAGCTTCTTGTCGTAGAAGAGAAATGTTTGTGGGTCTGGCAAGTCCCAAGTCCGTCTGAGGCCGGAGACCCAGGCGAGAGCTAGCATGGCAGTCTAGAGGCAGAATCTCCCCCTCTCCAGGAAACCGTTTGGCTGGTAAGCTTGTGCAGTGACTGGGCGAGGCCCACCCCCACTGTGGAGGGTCGTCTCCTTCAAGTCCTCTGGTGGGTGATGTGACCGCGTCTACCACACACCTTCCCAGCAATGCAGAACTCATGTTGGATGAAATGAGTGGATTCTACAGCCCGACCAAGTTGACAAGGCCAACTGACCATCATAGTCAGTTAACTGAAAAGATTAGATTTTAAAGTGAAATTTTGTGTCTCATATTATGCTTTCCTGCTGATTTCCAACTCCCACTTTAAAAAAGAAACAAAACACCCTTTACTGAGAAAAGGAGTCTATCGTGGCTTCCGAGTGTGAGGATAGAATGAGGACATGGCAGTGGGCCGGGCTCTGAGCTGGGCTGCCGCAGGGCTGGCCTGGATGACTTTACCGATTGTTGTCATTGTAAAGAGACTCACCTGCGTGAGTCATTAACTGAGCTAGAGAGATGGGGACAAAGGGAAGGAGAGGGAGGGGGAGGGGAGAAGGGAGAGGCATCACACACTAGGCATGGAAGGAGACCTTTTGTCCTAACGTGCAGGGAGCCAGGAAGGCAAGGGACAGGGACCACTCTGCATTCTCTGGCTCAGGCAGAGGCATAAAACAGTGCGGCGGGGGCGGGGGGGGTGGCGCGCGGGATGGGGCCCAGTAGATTCAGGGCACCTTGAAGGTGCTAAATTCTGCTTTGAGTTTTCAGGTCATGAGAAGGGTCCAGGTTGCCTGTGCAGTGGGCAGGGACATTTGCAGAGAGGCCTGGAGAAGTGTGATTGGGCGTGGAGAGCACTGCCCCACTCCCCCACCTTGGGAGGGGAAGAGAGGGCTCCAGAAAGTGCAATGGGCCTAGATGCTTTGCACTAGGGCAAAGCATGGGAGGGAGGGAGCAGGAAGCAGGAGCAGGACTAAGGGAGGGCATTGGGTTTAGGGACTGGAGATGGCTTGGTGCAGCTGATGCCAGAGGCAGGGGCTGGAAAGTCCAGTGGGAGGGGAGGGAACAGAGACCAAGGAAAGATCACCTGCTTGCAAAGTTCTTGTAAGAAGGGGTGTAGAGCCCTGGTTGGTACGGCTCAGTAGATTGAGCATTAGCCTGCGAACCAAAGAGTTGCTGGTTCGATTCCCAGTCAGGGCACATGCTTGGGTTACAAGCATGTAACCCAGCCAGGTCCTCAGTAGCAGGTACACAAGAGGCAACCACACATTGACATTTCTCTCCCTTTCTCCCTCCCTTCCCCTCTCTCTAAAAATAAATAAAATATTTTTTAAAAGAAGGGGTATAGAGAGGAGGAGGAATAAGAAAGTCATTTGGGAGAATTTCTCCACAGAAGGGGAAGCTGCTCTTGTTGAAGGTGCCAGGAGGAGCCTGTGGGGAGGAAGAGAAGCAGAGATGCTCCTGAGAAGTTGCCAGGGCGGGGATCTGGACCCCCCAGCAGGTGGGTACCTTGTGTCTTCTCGCCTGTGGGCACTTCCTGCCATGTGACAGGAAGAGACTCAGGGGGGGCTGTGTGTGAGGGGATTAACCAACCAATGGGATAATCAAAAGTACAAGGTCCAGCACTGACTGATGTGGCTCAGTGGGTTGGGTGTCCACCTGCTCGCTTTGCACCCTGCTTGAGGGCCCTGGGGCTGCCACAATCGAAAGGTCACTGGTTCGATTCCCAGTCAGGGCACATGCCTAGGTGATGTGTCAGGCCCTTGGCCGGGGGAGTGTGAGAGGCAACCTACCAAAGTTTCTCTCCCTCTGTTTCTCCATCCTTTCCCCTCTAAATATAAATAAGTAAAATCTTTAAAAAACTTTTAAAAGTACAAGATCCAGTCGGTTCTCTCCGGGAGCTGGCCTGGCAAGAAAGACAAGAGGAAGCCCGGTGTTTATGGTGCGTGGGAGGAGCTGTGGCCTAGGAGAGGAAGGTCTCAGATGGGGGAAGAGGGGCTGGGTGTGACGCTGGGAGGTCTGGCAGAGGCTGTGCGGGTCAGCCTGCCCTGCGGCAGGGTGAGAAACGCTGCGAGCCATGCGGCGGCCTGCTCGCTTTGCAGCCTGCGTGAGGGTCCTGGGGCTGCCACAACGAACTGCCCCAAACTGGGGACTTACAACGATGGTGACATATCCTCTCCCAGTCCTGGAGGCCAGAAGTCCCCAGCAGAAGTGTCAGCAGGGCCACACCCCCTCCAAGGGCACCAGGGGCGGAATCCTCCCTGCCTCTCCTGGCTCTGGTGTGGCTAACAGTCCTTGGCTCTCCTTGGCTTGTGGCCACACCCCCCACCCCCCCAAGTCTCTGCCCCAGTTGTCGTGTGGCTGTCTTCCCCGTGTGTCTCTGCCCAGTCATTGGACAATAGCACCCCCCCAACTCAGTATGATCAGCTCAGCCACTCGCATCGGCAAAGACCCCGTCTCCAAAGAAGGCCACTTTCTGAGGTTACAGGGGGGTGTGCATTTTGGGGACACTGTTCAACGCAGCACAGCCCCAGAGAGTGGGGAAGCCGAGAATGCAAGAGGTATCTGGCCTAGGACAGGGACAGCTGTGCTGCTCAGAGCAGGGGCACAGCCCCCCCGCCCCCACACACACACAGGAAGGGCCGTGGAAGGACCAGCAGAGCCTCAGGGGACCGGTCTGAGGTCAGAGCCAGTGTGGGGAGTCAGCGGGAGGGTGGGGAGTTGAGTGGGAAGCTGGGGTGGTGGCCTGGCCCAAATGGAGTAAGGGCAGCAGGGCGAGGCTGGGCTGTGTCTGTACTTTATCAGCACCCGAGCCCTCGCCCTCACCTGCGCCTGCAGGAGCACCAGGTGTAGAGAGCACAGGGAGGGGCTGGCCACCGGCACCGGGAGGTGGGGCACCTGGGACCAGCCACCTGGAGTCTCTGCACTCTGGGCCTATGGGGAAGGAATGGCAGCGCTGTCTGGCCCCTGCCCTGCCCTGCCCTTCAGCCCTCAGGCCAGGTTATTTCTCCTAACAACGAGACAAGTGGGTGTGGCTGCAATCCCACTGACAGGACAGAAGACCGACACTGGAAGAGGTCAGGTCACTTGCTCAAGGTCACACAGCAGGCCTGGAGGCTGGGGTTTGAACCTATGTTTAGCTGACTCTAAAACCTTTGCTTTTATATGTATATGTTTGTGTGTGTGTGTGTGTGTGTGTGTGTGTGTGTGTTTAAGGCTCTTCATTATGAAAACCTCCAGACACAGCAAAGTGAACAGACGCGGAGAGCGAGGCCCACGGGCACCGGCTGTCAGCTGCGGCTGGTGCTGTTTCCCTGGCACCGCCCCCTCTTCCCGCCCAGCCTCTTATCCCTGTTGTGGTTATTAGTTTATTTCTTTTGTTGACGTAAAGTGTAGATACAAGGAAATGTACAATTAGTAAAATGCTTTGTACTTCGTACAATTTTATTTGTGCTCTTTTTTTGTCTGGTTTTGGGTTATCTCTGTTTTCCTACTTTTCTAACAATGAACAGGTAGTTTTTATAATAAGGGGAAAACCAATAAATGATGAGAATGTTTAAGATGTCCTTTGGGCAGATGCCCTGTCCCTCCATTCAGCTGCAGGGCTCGAGACGCCCAGATTTATTCTGTGCTTTTCCACACACCCATTCTGAGTGACCAGGTCTTCTGGGACCCAGCCTGCCCTCCCCTAGACCCCCGGGGAAGGTGTGGGGGCCTCCTCGAAGGAAGAGGGGTCGGCACTCAGGACCCACAAACACAGCTGGGCCCAGGACTGAGACCCAGGTAGGCTGCCCTGAATCCAATTCCCTGCCACCTCCTGGGGACCCACTGCCCTGCCTGTTCCACAAGAACCTCCACCTTCAAGGAGAAAGTGGGGCCTCTGTGGGGCTCCCCCGAACAGCCCAGGTTGGGCAGGCCCCCTAATGCCCTGGGAGAAGCTGGCTTGGGGACGGGTTGCCAGGCAGCCAGCAGAGTCTCCTCCCAGGACAGCAGGAGTGGCCACGTTGCCCAGCAACCAGGTAGTGGCGTCTCTTGAGCCAGGACTGCACAGCTGCGCCCAGCCCTGCCCCGCTCCTCAGGGGCCCGCGGGACCCCTGGGGCCCTGCTCTTGTTCCCCACGACCAGGACAGCTGGTGCCTCTGGCCACCATGAACACTGTTCTCTACAGGTAGGTGGCCCTGTGCTGGTGCCGGCCCAAGCTGGGCGGGAGGGACGGGTAGTCTGGGTTTTCAGGGCCCCACGCACCAAGGCAGACAGGGCAGCTGGCATTGCTAGACCAGACGGAAGATGGGGAGGTGGGGGGTGCAGAGTGAGCTTTCTCCCACACCTTGCCCACCTCGATGTCCAGGGGTGACGGGGCTCAGGAACACAGGAGCTTCCAGAATATGGTCTCTGTCGGCCTCCCCGGCATTACTGCCCACAGCTCTCGGGCGGCCAGAATCACAGGGTCCGTCCCAACTTCCCTCACTCGTCTCCACCTGGAAACCCCCTTCACACCTCCAAGCCCCACCGGGCATCACCCCTTCTGTGGGACTGTCCCAACCCCACTCTCTCTGGCCTGGTTCCGCCACTGCTCTCCCACAACCTGGCGGCCACTTACACTAGCGTTCCCACGCCTGGTCCCTCTGAGGGTCCAAACTCCAGGGTGTCTCCGAATCACCTGATGCACTTTTTAAAAAAATGCAGCCCCCAGGGCCTCTCTCCAGGGATTCTGGTTCACGAGTCTGGTTTGGGGGCCTGGGAAACCGCACGCTTAGCTTGTACCTCAGGTGGTTCTGGCGGAGGGGTCTGGGCCTCCCCCGGAACAGCTGATGCACCTGGCAGCTGTGTGACCTTGAGCAAGGTGCTTCCCCTCTCTGGGCCTCAGCCGGCTCTTGTTAAAACCGTGCTAGTAAGAGCGCCTTACTTCTAGGGAAATGCATGTGGAGGATTTCGCAAGCTGCCAAGTGGTGCGTGAGTTAGGGTTGTTGAAAGGAGGACAGAGGGCCCTCCTCTGAGTTTCCAGCTTTGGGGATGTGACTGGAGGGTTGCACTGGGGCCTTTGGTCCCCTGGAGAGAGGCAGCGTTGCCCTGGAGACAGGGGCTCACGGAGCTGGATAGAGGCCCAGGAGGGAGGTGAGTGCCCGAGGCTGCTTGGAGCAGGCTGGATTCAGCTCGCCCATTCCGCACACTCTCACTGAACACCTGCCCCGAAGCACAGAAAGCTCCCACCCCAAGGCTGGAGGGTGAGAGAAACCAAGCGTGACAGGAAGTGATCAGTGACATACAAGAAGGAGAAGATAAAGCTTCGGGCTGGGGGAGGGAGAGGGGAAGGAAAGAGGGAAGGAGGGAGGGAGGGGGAGGGAGGGGAATGGGTGGAGCACAGGCCTCTGAGGCAGTGGACCTGCTGTCTTGGACGCTGCGATGGTGGACACGGGCAGTGTGCATGTGTCAAAGCGCAGGGAGTGTGCAGCACCATGCAACCCAGGAGCCCTCACGCAAACCGGGGTTTTAGTTAATAATGCATCACTGTCGGCTCATCTTTTGTAACAAATGTTCTCCGGTGATGCAAGAGGTAACTAACGGGGAAGTGTGTGCTAGGGAGAGGGCACAGGGGAACTCCCTGTACTTCCCACTGGGTTTTTCTGTCCACCTAAAACTGGCCTCTCAGACAGCCCTTCAGGGTTCAGAGGAGGAGAAAAATTTCAACAGCTCGAGGAAGAGAAAGAAAAGGGGGGAATTTCAGAGGGAAGGGCGAGGTCACGCAGACAAACTCTGCCAGGGGGCAGGGGCCCCTCTGAGGGGCTGCGGGAAGAAGGAGGGTTTGGAGCCACACCTTCGCTGGCTCTCCTGCTGGCCACTGGCCAGCTCTGTGACCCTGAGGGTCTCTGGCACCTGCCTCGATGGGCTGGCCCCTAAACCTGGAGCGTTGTCCCAGGGACCAGATGCCTGCCCCAATGCTCACCACCCAGGAGGAAGGTGATGGGGGGTGAGCCCCACGTCACCGCCCAGACCCCCCCTCGGGCCCCCACCTCCTCAGGGACAGCCAGGTGCGGATAATGGAGAGCACGGTGACCAACGCCGAGAAGCACTTCGGCCAGTTCTGCTCGCTGCTGGCTGCCTACACCCGGAAGACAGCCGGGCTGCGGGACGCGGCCGACCGGCTCGTGCTGCAGCTCCTCGACTTCGCCAGCACCGAGGGCCCCGAGATGCGGGCCACCCTGAGGGACTTTGCGGAGGACCTGGCCAAAGTGCAGGATTACCGGCAGGCCCAGGTGAGTGGGGTGGCCGAGGACCCGGCCCCACTGCCATGGCCGGTTTCAGGAGGCTGGGGAGGCCCTTCAGGGCTACAGCGAACAGACATCTCCTTAGGTGTGTGTGGGGGGGTCACACCTCCGTTTGTAGGACTGACAGCAGGAGGCTTTCGGGGTTGGACAAGCAGTGGATGAGACGAGAAGACCCAGGGAGCCAGTGCTGAGCCGGCTGCTGGGGGCTCCCTGCGTCCCAGGCAGGAGGCCCATCCCAGGGGCCCCGGGGGCCTGGAGAAGGGACAGACGTCCTGGGGGTTGGGCCAAGGAGACTGCAGTGTGTTAAGAAAATAATTAAAAAGAAAAACCTCCTGCCAACCCAGAAAACTCCTCTCCATGGCTGCAGAAAAGAACAAAGCAGCTTTTCTACCGAACAAGCATTAAACCAGAAGTCATGTGCATCACAGGAGACCCGGTTAGTGAGGCACAGCCAGGCACTGGGAGCCCCTCACATGCGCAGGGATGACGGCTTCCAGGAGGGGGCTCAGGGCCCTCTGTCCCACAGGGCCTCCTAGCTCCACCTGGTGGTCGGGGGGCCACCTGGGTTAGCTAATGGTCTTTCCCTCAAGGGAGAGTAAAACTCACATTTCCACAATGAGCAGGGCATTACAGCTTGGAGCGGGTGCCTGGGCAGCGAAGCCCAAGATCCTGTCTTCCCAGATGTTTGCATTTCAAAAAAACAGGACTGCCATTCCTGGGGCGTCAAACCCCAGGAGTCTTCTTTAGCTTTCGAAAAGGTTTAGATACCTCTCAAAGGACAGAGAATAAATTCACAAGGACAGATTGTCTAAAAGAAGTGTTTTCAGGGAAAGGAAGGTAACGTCCCTTTCCCTTTTAGCACCAGGGGAATTTTTTTTTTTTTTTTTTTTAAGATTTGTGTTTACTCCACAAGGGTCACAAGTCTCCATGAAGGAGAAGGAAGGGGCTGGTGGGACGGCAGCCCCCCTGGCCCATCTGATGAGCCGGATGTTCAGGGTGCCCATCCTCAAGGCATCGGCCTCACCTGGAAGCTTGCTAGAAATGCAGGCTCTCAGGCCACACCCTGGACCTGCTGAGTCAGAATCTCTAGAGTGGCACCCGGCAATCATGGTTTTCAGGAACCCTTGAGGAGCACCCCAGGCCTGCTCTAGGGGGACACTTTTTGATTCCAAACAGTGCTGGGCATGGTAACCCATAGCATCAGCTTTAAATGTGATTGGTATTACTACTGCTGACACCGTTTATTAAAGCGCCTGGTACTATTAGACTTGGCACGTCCATAGGCACTGGGACCGGCGTGAGCGGCGTCCCCCTTGAGATGCTGCTGTGTGGGGGCTGCACGCACAGTCAGCACTGAATCCCAGACTATCCTGTGTTCTGAGAGGGTTTCTGTAGCCTCTCGTGAGATCCTCAGCCAGTCTGGAGAACTAAAACAGCAGCAGGTCCCACTGCTGTCCCCGTCCCGGGGCGAGTACGGTCATTATACCCATTTCACAGGTGAGAAAACAAGGCTCAGTAAGATTAGTGTGTTGGGAACCGCCCTGCCTGGTATCAGAAGCTGTAACCCCCACCTAGGCTAAGGCTAAGGGAACGCCCTTGGAACCATAAGCCAGCAAGGAGACAAAAGCTCATCTCCCTGGCAGGAGTGCTGCTTCTGCTGCTTCATTCATAACTGAACCCCAAAGCTTGGTTGGTTAGCCAAAGACGGGTAAGGTTCCCCAAGGGGGGAACGATCTAAGACAGGCACGATCACGTGGGAGGGCCCCAAAAGAAGGACTTTGGGGGGCTACAGCAAAAGGGGGTGATGGACCCTCACTCCTCGGCTTTGACATAGCCTGAGTCCTCATCATCTGGGAGAAAATCTCCTTATCTCTTGGTTGTCTCACTTCCCTTGCTCCACCTAAGCCTGAAACAATGACAGGGTGGTGTAGCTCTGTGCTTAAAAGGGCGGATTCCCCGGGGTGATCAGGCCTAAGAAAGAACATGTAAATTACTGTGAAACCTTCTTTGTTTAGAATGCTCTCAGTTGAATGAGAAGGGTCCAAGGAGGAAGTTAGTTTGTTCCTTAAAAGTCTTACAGCTCTTTGACCCTGACTCAAAATAGACCCGCAGAGTTCCTTGTTATCTATTGTTCCTTACTTCCTCGTAATGAGTAATGTGCTTTACCTGAATTATTATGCAAAATGAGCCCAATAAAAGCAGGTTTGAACGGTAAATCGGCGCACTCCCCACTAGAGGGGGTGGCCGTTCCGTCCCTACTTCTTACAGAAACTAGTCTATCTCTGTGCATGTTTTTTCTCGCATTTCAATGAGCCATCTGCAGCATTCCATGATCACTGCTGGCTGGTGACCCACGCGTCATTAGTGTGTTGCTCATGCCCTTGAGAGGCGGAGCGCTGGGCCTGGGCTGCTGCTCCCAGCCCTAAGGGTGATGGAGGGCCCCGCCTTGCAGCTCTGTGCCTGCTGACGACACTAGAAATATAGGCTGGAGGCCACGTGGTCTCCGGGTGTCTCCCTGCCTCCGCCCACCCCGATTCTCTGCGTGTCTGTGTTCCCCCAGGTCGAGAGGCTGGAGGTCAAGGTGGTCAACCCCCTGAAACTCTACGGGGCGCAGATAAAGCAGACGCGGGTGAGCGAGGGTGCTGCCCTGTGGGGTGGGCCGTGTCTGTGGCTGCCCACGCTGGAGCCCCAGGAAAGAGCCCTCCTCCTTCTTTAGGCCGAGATCAAGAAATTCAAACGTGTCCGGAATAATGAGATCAAACAGCTGGAAAAGCTGGAGAAACTAAGGCAGAAGTCGCCTTGGGATAGGCAAACGATCGTATCCTTCCCTGGAGTCGGGCCTGGGACCGCTGGGCCAGGGTGACTGTTGGTCACAGGCGCCCTCTGGTGGAAGCTTCTGCTTAACCTGGCTCCTTAACAGCACCTCTCAGTCCCAGGTGAGAGTCACACGTCTGTCTGGGGAAGGTAGAACTGCACGCAGGTAATGAAAAACCTCACAAAACGGCGTGGTGAGCTTTTCCCTGGGCAGATACGTGCCAGGCTCAGGACAGGGAAGGCAGGGGCAGGGTTGGGGGGGGCAGCTGGAGGCCAGAAGGAGGTCAGTAATCACGCCCCTTCTCAGCCTACCTGTTCAACACTCGCATCCACTCAGCACTTCTAGATGAGGACACCCAGGCTAAGAAAGGTGACTTGCCCAAGGTTTCAAGGGAGCTGAAGGGGCAAACCCTGACCTGAGCTGAGGGCACCTAACTCTAAAGTGCAGGTTCTGTTGTGCGCATGTAAAGTCGGGGCACACAGATGTCAACCAAAGGAACCAAGGAATTGGTTAATGAGCTTAAGAATGTTCCACAGCCAGGAATTAGTTATTGTAGAAAGGAGAGCACCTGTTATGGTAACAGCTCAGGGGGTGCCCACTGCTTAACTTCTTTCAACTTTGCAAAGCAGGTCTCATCATTGTCCCCCATTTACAGGCAAGAAAACTGAGGCTCAGAGAGCTTAGGTGACTTGATGAGATCACAGAGATAGCAAGCAAATAGGCCCAAGCAGTGCCTGCCCCTTCAGCCATGGTCCTGCTCAGCTGTTTCTTTGATGACCAAACTGGCAAGACACCCCCAGGGGCAGGAGAGCTGACCTGCCAGCAGGATGAGGAGTCAGAGAATGGTCCAGAATGGAACCACTGCTACATTTTCTACCCCCGGGGCAGGTGGAGACCAGTGTGCAGAAGGCCTCGGGGGACACCGGCCGCACCACCCACCAGCTGGAGGAGACGGTGGACGCCTTCCAGAAGCAGAAGCTGAAGGACCTGCAGGTAGGGGTGGCCGCCTTGTTTGTGTTTGCACCTGTATAAGAGTGTTCACGTTGTATGTGTGTGTGTGTGTGTGTGTGTTTGCTCACTCAGCTCCCGGCACAGTTAATCCCAGCCTAATCCTGGCCGAGGGGGCAGAAGGCCGGCTGCTCAGAGCAGCTGTCCCCCCAGCTGGCCTGCCCAGAGCCAGCGCTCAGCAGCCCTGCCCCTCACCACCCAGGCCCAGATGCCCAACAGGAGAACGTGGCAGAGCCAGTCTCCCCCAGTCCCTCTTTCCACACAAGGACCCACAGGACTTGCCCCAACTTCCTCCTTTTCTCCATGAAGCTCTAAGTAAATGCATAAGTGCCTTCCTCCTCCCACCCGGATGCCGCCCCAGTGCAGCCCAGGACCTGGAACCCAGAGCCCGGCTCTTATAAGAGGGCATCAGGGCCTTAAAGGACAAGCTGGTCACACAGGTTCCTGCACCCACTGGACATCCCCCCTCCAGTCCATTTTCCAAACGGCAACCTCAAGGACCTGACCAAAGGCAGCTCCGCCCTGTCGCTCCTGGGTTTAACACCCTCCTGTGCTTCCCCTTGTTCCAAGGATAAAGGCCAACACCCTCCCCAAGGCTCTGGAAGCCCCAGCCTCATCACAGACCCTCTACTACTCCAAGCTCAAGGGCACCAAGCCCCTTGGAACTATAGGTCCTTTGCATAGGCCGAGTCCTCAGCTAGGAAGGTTCTCCTGGCTCAGGGGATGTCACCTGGCCCCACAGACTGGTCCTGCCCCATTCTTAATACAGTTCACCCCCTCTGGGGTGCTTAGCCCAGTGTGACAGGTTACTTATATCTTTAATTTACTTGTTAATCTAACAAAGGTTCAGTCCACACTTCCTATGTGGCAGGTGCTATGCCTGAGGCTGGGGACACCAGAACCAGCAAAGCAAGGTGAGGCCCAGCCCTCACAGAGTTGACCTCTCGCTCTGCCACAGGCCCCCACCAGGCGGTGGGCCGTTCATCAGGAGTGCAGAGTGGGCGGAGCGTTCCCTGTTCCAGGCCCCCCCCCCCCCGCCCCCCGCCATCTGCAGGGCAGACTCTGCCTGTCTGGTCACCTGCTGAGTCCCGGGCACCAGGTCCAGGATCTGGCACTTAGTGATGCTCAGTAAATATTTGGGAAATGAATAAATGAACAGATGCACAAGTGAGCAAACAGTGGTAATTAGTACTCCAGCCTCTATGTTGCACGCAGGCCCTAAGACCACCAGCTGACGATTATTAAGCACCTGACGCCGGAGCCCTGGAAGCGGGGCTCTGTGGGGTGCTCAGCCTCCCTCCACAGTCAGGGGCCAGCAGAAGCTGCGGTTCTTTAAACTTCTGGGGTCAAGCTTGTAGCAGACACTTAACCAAGCCTCCCCCTAAAAAGCCTTCCAAATTTTAAGTGATAAAAACCCAGAACTCGAAATAGCGATAACCGCCATATTGGTTTTAGGTCGCACTTCTACTAAAAGGATTGTATTTCCAAAGAGCTCTCCGGCCCCTATGAAAGAATGTAAGTGATGCTTTTATCCAGGGGTCCCCCTGTACCTGAGCACGCATCTGAAGTCACCTGGAGGGCTCCGAGCGACAGGCCTGCCCTGGATTCCCATTCCGTGGGTCTTGGTGGGCCGGAGAATTGGCATGTCTGGCCGGCCCCGGGGTGGGGTTGGGCCCATGCGGGAAGCACAGGCTGGGAGCTGGTTCTCAGGGCTGTGTGAATGGGGGCAACCCTGTCCTCGAGGTGCAGATGAATACACTGAGGCTGTAGAGGAGGTCATTCCCCAGGCCCCATGCCAGGAGGCAGGTGTCTCCATCCACCTTAGGACCCTCTCCTTGTTCTTCTCCCAGGCTGCCTTGCAGGCTTCTTCTGGCCGGCCGCCCCCACGTGCTTTCCATGCTGCCTGAAGCAGTGTGTTTCCAAACCTCAGGCTCCTCCCCTGGTACCGAGCCTGTGTCCTGCTAGGGCCCTGAACACAATGGAGCCTCTCCTGGGGTCTGACACACAGTAGGAGTCTCCTCTCAGGCCCTGCACACAGTAGGAGCCCCCGCTAGGGCCAAAGGGGCAGTGGTACCTCTGTAAGAGCTTACTGAGCCAAACTGAGCCATCTGATCAAGAGAAGCCAACATCTAATTCTATTTTAGTGAGCTAATTCGTCAGGTTGTGGGGCCTCTGGGCTGAGCAATGTCTACCAGCAGCTCCCGCCCTCTCCCGGAAGACCCAGTCACAGCCCACGGGTGGCAGAGGCTGAAGGTTTGAAGCCACCAGCCTGCGAACACCTGTCCTTGAAATGAGAGGAGCAAAGGCTGAGTGGAGAGTCCCGTGGACGGAGCCAAGGAAAGCATGCCCCTCAGAAAGTCCTCGCTGAGAGACGGGGCCTCTGCATTTCTGAAATAACCCCTGTGTGGAGCAGCTTTCAAGTGGGAGTGCAGTATCTGTTCAATCAAACAAATTAAAAATAACATTGGCCTTGAACCTTTCCCCAAAAAGACCACTAGCCCCCCTCACCCCTCGTTCGTCCACATGTGAGGTGGCCCTAGGTCTCTCCTTGCGACAGCGTTGCTTACGTGACTTGCACGTCTCTCCCCACAGAAAATGCTTTCGGACTTTGTGACCGTTGAGCTGGTGTTCCACGCCAAAGCGGTGGAGGTGTACTCCAGTGCTTTCCAGACCCTGGAGGACTGCGACCTGGAGAGGGACCTGGAGGTGAGTCTTGGACGCCCAGGCTCTGCTCCGCGGCGTGGGCTGAGTTCAGCTTGTGCTCTCTCTCGATAGAAGCAGTTTTTGTTTGCAACATTTTGTAATTTTTATAATTTGAAAGACTCATTCCGATAAACTGTTTAAAACAGGGGTCCCCACCTCTACCCAACCCCCACCCCCACCCCCGACCTCGGACTCAGAGGACCAGAAGGAACGCTGGAGCAAGGAAGTTGGCCAGAGCTCCACCTCCTGCTTCCTTCTTCCTGCCTCCTCTGCCCATCCCCAGGGGCCAGTGAGCAAAGCTCACCTGAGCTCCACATCTCCTGCACCCCCCAGACCACTGCTCAAAACACCTGCCCCTTGGTGCCAAACCTACAGGTGGGGAATTTCCAAACACTCTCTCTCTCTGGAATATCAATGTGTCCATCACCAGTGGGTGTTTAAAACACAAGTGGATGAATCAACGATGACTAACAGCCTCTCCAGGCTGATGCTTGCTACTCTATGGATGTTCACCAGGTGCTTGTTACCCTTCTGGCCTGAGGAAAATCTAGCACTTGCTCACCTGAGTGACCTATGACACACCCCGCCGCACCCGATGGTGCGGAACAGCAGGCACTTGTGACTGCCTTTCGTGGTTCTGGGGTTGGTGAGCTTGGCTGGGTGGCCCTCACCTGGGTCTTTCATGAGTGTTGGGACAGTCAGTCGCTGGGGCTGGGTCCCTTCCCAAGGCTTCCTCTCTCCTGTCTGGTAGTTGATGGCTGTCGTCTGGGTGTGGGACAGGCCAGGGGACTTGAAGAGATCAGTGCAGAATGAAAATGTGGGCCTTCTGTTCAACAGTGATAAAAATTTCAAGACTGCGACAGCAGGTTCCTTCTGAGCTCACGGCCCTGGACAACTGCAGGGGCCACGCGCGCGCGCGCACACACACACACACACACACACACACACACACACACAGCCCGCCCTGTCTGGGCCCTGGCACCTGAATACCTGCCCGTGACCTCTGCAAGTGGTGCCAGCCTCCTCACAACATGGCGGCTGGCCTAGGCATGGGCCTCCATCCCCACTCAGAGCCAGAAGGAAACTATCACCTTTTGTGACCTGACCTTACAAGTACCTTAGTGTTACATTCTATCCTTAGAAGTGAGTCACTAAAGCCACATTCAAGGGGAGCAGGATTATATTTCAGCTCCTAATGGGAGGCGTGTCAAAGAATTTGTAGCTCCAATGGGCTCTCAGGCATCCGCCCATCTCTGTGATAACCCTTCTGCGGTGAGAATGATCTCTGATTTTCCCGTGTGACTCTGGACGCATTACCCAGCCTCTGTGGGCCTCAGTTTCTCCATCTGTAAAACAGGATGATGTGCCCACTCACCAGGCTGTTACAGATCATGTAGGAGAATGAAGGTAAGGTTCCCGGATAGGTCGGTGCAGGTGGGGGCTCAGACAGTGTTAACTGTGCCCACCACCATCTTTCCACTCCCACCCCCATCTTTGTTTCCCAGTCGACTCTGACCCCCCTGGGTCTCTCCACCGCAGGATTTTAGAGCCAAGATGCGCGGAGTTTACGGCCGTTATGATGCACGGCTACTCACGGACACCACCCCCTCTACGGCTGTTCCGTGGTCTCTCCCTGGCCAGGTGAGCACTGGGGATGGGGCTCTTAGACCTGTGACAAAGTGAAATGACTTGGGGGAGGTCATCTGAGAACACAGGTTTGAAAGGAGATGCTGGGAAGGAAGTGCCGCCAGGGAGTCTGACCTGGGCTTTCCTAGAAGAGGAATCACTAAACCGTGGAACCCAGTGGTGTGGCTGCCACATGTCCTGAGCTCCCCCTAGAGGCATGACGTAGTAATGTGCACTGGAGTAGTGAGGTCTCTGGATGGTCCTCTTCTGGCTCCCCACCCCACCCCAGCCCACCCTCGGTGGGTTTCAGAAGTCAGCCATTTAGGAAGTCACATGGCACATGCACTACTTATAACCTCAGGAACCCAGCGAGGCCTATGATCAGGCACATTTATATTTCTGTGGGGAAACCTCTTAGTATTTAACTGAATAGCATAAAGACTCAAGCAGCCTCATGACGATAGGGCAGGCTCGGTCACCCAGTGGGCGAGGGCGGAGCGGGAAGCGCATCCCACAGTGTGTGGAGGGGCAGGGTGTGTCTCTTGGCTTCCTGAGCGGTTCTCTCCGAAGGCAGTGGAGGAAGTATGGCCCCAGGCAGGGTGACTGACTCCAAACCCACTGCCCCCAAGCTGAGCGCCTTTAGGAAAGTTTCTTCACCTCTCTGTGCCTTCCATCCCTCAGCTGCACAGTGGGGCTAATAACAGTACCCCCTTCGTGGGGTCGTGGTGTTAAGTGAACAAATCTACACAAAGCACTTTTAAAATGCTTGGTACTGTGGCTGTCGTTATTATCATTCATGCTGTTGCTGTGATGATTGTGATGATGACGATGGTTATGATGATGATGACGATTTAGAGTGCTCAGAGCGCCATCCGGAGCCAGAGAAAAGAAGAGGAGGCAAGTGAGGACGACTCTGCAGAGGAGGACCCAGAGGACCCAGAGGAGGGCCCCAGGGGATGGGGCAGGCGCTCCACCAGCAGGACCAGAGCGCCCCAGTCAGAACACTAGGGGCCAACCCTGGGTGCCTGGGGGACCCTGTTGTGTGCCCTCGGCAAGTTACGTGTTCTCTGAGCTTCTGTACAACAGGGACAATCTCACTCACCTCCCAGGTCGCCCTGGGGCTCCACGCGCCTAGCGTGTGCCTGGTGCGTAACAGGTATTCAATAAATGTGGGTGCGTCCCAGCCTGGCTCGTACTGACTCTCACTTCCCACCCGGGTCTGGGGACTCGGCATTTAAACTGTGTCTGGGTCAGTGTCCAGTTTCCCTCTTTTTGTAAGGACACCGGCCCCGCTGGAGAAGGATCTGTCCTATCCGGTGTGACTGCATCCTAACTAATTACAAATGAGAGTCTCTTTCCAAATAAGGCACATTCTGAGGCCCTGGGAGTCAGGACTTCAACATGTAAGTTTTTTAGGGGGGGGCATGGTTCATCCTATAACACATGAACATGGTGTGCAGGGATGACCTCGGGCATGGGGATGTCACAGAAGTTGGGGGAAGTGGAAGGGTGATGCAGGTAAAGGGGGGGGTGGGTACATGATTTACTCATCACCAAAGTGGGGAACACAAACTTTCCTTATATCATTGCAGGATTAGCATCCTCACCACTTTGATTTTATTACCCCAAATCCAGCTCCATGGCACCTCCTCAGGGAAGCCCACCGTGATTCCACCCTAGAGGACATTCCAAAAATAACTGAAGCATTCTATATTTTCTACATAACTTATAAAATAACTTTCATAAATTATATATTACATATAGTCACATTTGACTATATATTTTATTTCATACTATAAACATGTGTATGTGTGCACTCACATATAAATGCACTTCTTTAAAACATCAGCTATGCCCCAACCCCACTGAGAGTTTCTGGGAAAAAAACCCTGCTTATTCATGTGGTGGTCCTGGAGCCTGATGGTCTCTGGCACATAGTAGGTGCTCATTAAATGTAAGTTGACTCTGCAAGGGGACTTTCCCAACCCCTCTGGCCCCAACACACCCAGAGACCAACTGTTTTAAGTGCAGGGTTGGACAGTTGCTCAAGTGCCTTCCTCGTCACGGGGGGCGGGGTCCCTTGGACAGTGGCGACAAAATTTCTAACTCCTCCCTTTGGGGCCCCAGGAGGTAGGAGGTTGGTGGGGCAGGGACGGAAGCAGCATGACTTTGGGGGTCTCTCTGAGCCACACGGGGCTGGATGGTCTTCCTCCCCGTGCATCCCTTGCTCTGTCCCTCCTCATCACTGAGCAAATGTGCCCCACGGCTCCCAAGCAATCCGTGCACATATCTGAATACAGGAGAGAACTCCTCGTGACATCCAAACATGGCTTCAGGAATGAATAAGACCCTTGACCCAAAAATGGGAAGAGGGGAGATGCCTCTTTAGGGGAACGGAGCACTTCCAGTGTGGCGCTGTGGCAGGAGGGAGCCTGGGGGCAGGCCGCAGACAGGAGCGCGCAGTGCGGACCTGAGAAGACCCCTGCTCGGTGCTCTGGAGTGTCAGTGCTGTGTTGGGCTTCGATAGAGCCAGAAATGCAAGGTTGCAACTTGCAAAGTAACACCATTTGGAAGCTTACATTGTTTACATTTCTTTTATATTTAATGTGTGAATTGGGAATAGTTATAAATTTGTTCCTATAAAATTTAAACAAAAAAGGTCAGTTCTTCTTTCTTTTGTCTTCAGTGGGTAGGACCCTTCCTGCGGGGTCACCTCCCTGGGTTTACTGCTCATCAGGACAATGAGGGGACGGGTCGGACGGTGGTAAGCACCACTGTGCCATTTGCGAAGCACGTGTGCGTGCACTGCCCTGGAGCCTCACAGGGCCCTTCTGAGATGGGCGGTGCTTTCCTTCCCACTGCACAGGCTCAAACACCTCGGCGGGTTACGGGCAAGATGGGCCCTGCCCCTGCCCTGCAGGGTTCTGTGCCCCAGCAGAGGGGTCCTCCCCTTCCCTGGAGTTGCCTCTGAATCTGGCCCTGGGCCACTGCTGGTGGGGTCCTCCTGGCACCTGGGGAAGCATCAGATGTGATGCCTTGGCTCGGGCTCCTCCTGGCACCTGGGGAAGCATCAGATGTGATGCCCGAGCCAAGGCATCTGGCTGTCCCTCCATGTTTGGCCAGGAGGGGCGGGGTCCTCCAGACAGTGGGAGAGCAGGGGACATGGAGGTTGGCCCTCACCCCACTGAGCGCAGGGTGCATACCCCAGCCCACATCAGACACTGTGGGGTGGCCAACCCGCCCCCAGCGCCCCTCAAGCGGAGCCTGCTGCTTCAGGCTTTGGTACCGAGAGTTCTTTCCCCAGGCCCTTACTGCTCCTCAGCTTCACCATCTACATCTGTTTAGGCCAGGGCCTCAGAACGGGCCACCGACGTCCTCCAATCAGACAAACGGAAGGCCTGGATATTTCACAACATGTATGTGTCAAACCAAGTTGGAAAGGGCCCATAGAGTTATCCTGTCTGTATTAGCTGGGAGCTGTGATCAGTTCCCATTTACGGTCCCCTAAGCCTTCAATTGCAGGTGAGCAGCTCGGGCTCAGAGGAAAAGCAGGATTAGGATTCCAGCTGGAGGGGCTTTGAGCATCCTAGGGGCCCAGGGCTGAGGTCCAGTCCAGAGTGGGCCACTCCGGTCACTAAGACATACCCCTAAGGACCAAAGTCCAGGCCCCGTATCATTCGGAGGAATGCTCCTTTTCCTGGCATTTTCCATGAGACACATACATCTGGGCAAGACCCAAAGGCACCTCCCCACCCCAGATGGTGAGAACATCCATTTGTCCCCAGAAAAAGCCACTGATATCACTAAGAGTGCAAATTGCATAAAAAGTCCTCACGGATATGTGAAGTCAACAATTAGACAGACTTTTTCCTTCAAAGATAATTTATTTCAGTTTCCACCTTCTGACAATCGGAGGTGCAATATATAGACATTCTTTTTCTCTACAGGAAGGAACGGTGCTTGATTTTAGCACCGTTCTGGGATCCCCGACCTTGAAACTTTCTCAACCTTAAAACGCAGCCAGCAGAGTGTCACTGAGGGGAACACAGAGTTGTGTAACTGTGACACGCGAGAGCCCCACACCGCTGCACCCCACTGCAGGCGTGTCTGGAGGGCGGGTGCGGGTCTGGGACGCTCGGGGTGAGGGAGAAAACAGGGCACACACGTGCCCACCCCCGCCAAGCCCCCACACGGGCCACCGTCTCAGACTAGGTGGCCGACTGACCGTGTTCTAACACATGTCCATAGTTCCAGGGGATCTGGTTCTGTAGTTTGAATTTCTGGCATTTTCTAGTGTTCCAATGTCTGGCTTGTCTCTCTCACGGCATCCGTGGGAAGGGTCAGCCTCAGGCTCACCCATGACCTTGTGGGCAGGGGCACCGAAGCCTAGCTGTCTCCAGCACAGGACAGACACCCAGATGCCCCCACCCCCATGTCTAGGCCACCGTGGGGCCAGTGCCTGCAGGGCACTCCCCTTTGTCTTCCCATGCACACCCTGCCCAGGGCCAAGGAGGGAGCAGGTGCAGCTGCACTCCTGGACTGACCCACAGGCAGAGGGGGGCTGCCAGCAGGAGCCCTCTTTCCAGTTAAAGTGCAACCCCAGGCTCCAGGGGCCAGGGGGATGGGGGGCTTGTCTGACTGGGCCTTGTCAAAGCCTGAGTCTGTGGGTTAAGCCAGGACTGGTTCTCCACCGTGGCAGGTGTCCTCAGAGGGCTGTGAGTCTGTAAGTGATGGAAGGAAGGGCAAAGCCGGACCAGAGGGCTCTCTCGCCCCTGAAAACGACGAGTTTCCCATGGTAACCAAGAACCAGGAACTGGGAGCACAGCCCCCCTTGAGTCCCGGGAACCCGGCCAGCTGGCCAACTCGAGACACAGGCTAACACCAGGTTCCCAGGAAACAAAGCAGGCTGGCCCCTGGGGCGCTCCTTCCATCCCTCCTGAGGAGTCCAAGACGCTTGGGCCCAGGGGGGCAAGGGAGACCCAGGCCCAGAATGAGGCCCTCAAGAATCTGCTTAGTCATAGCATTGACTGTGTTGGCTGGACGTGACTGGAAATGACTCATCCACTGGTAGCCCGAGAACCAACTTGTTCCCGTTCCCGCCACGTGGGGATGGGGACGCACTGGTCCCATCTGGGGCCTGAACATGCACACCAGTCAATTCGGGCTACTTCTGGCCCATACAACCTCCCTTCGCCGTGAACCTCGGCTGAAAGCTTTTCAAGTCAACCTCATCCCCGAGAATCACACAAAGGAACACATGACCTGCAGAAAAGCAGAGTTGTGCGGTCAATGGTTCAGGAGAGCAAAGGGCTGGGCGGGGGCTGAGGAAGCGAGAAGAGTAACCCTCAGAGCCGAGGGTCTGCGGTGGAGGAAGATGAGAGGAGAGACCAGCCTGAGACCACCGGGCGGGGTGTGGCGTGAGGGGCTCACTGCACCCATCTCCTGAGCCTGGGGCTGGGTCTCCAGCCCTCCGCCTTCTCCCGCTGCTTCCCAGGCTCCCACAGTTCTGGGCAAGGGACTCAGCCCCCTACTGCATAGTTGTCTTAAGTTCTAGGTGATTTGGTAATCAAGCTGACCTAACAATGGCTCTACCTGGGTCCTCCCTAATTAAAAAGCCAAAGGTTAGGGTACAATAATGCCCAGGAGGGCCGGGTTTGCAGCTGGTGGCCCCGATTCTGGTTACTGGCACCTGGGTTAGACAGAACCTGCGGCAAACTTCTTTGTGGAGTGAATGCTGTCCCCTCACCTCCGGTGGCTGGGACACCAGGGCTCCGGTGATAAATGAACCCACATACAACAGGCCGTGGAAGAGCAAACCTCAAGCTGCTGCCTTCGCACCACGACACCAATGCCGCAGGCTCACCGGGTGTGGGGAGGTCAGACAGGATCCGCCTGCCTTGGCCCCCACCCTACGCCCACGTGGGCTCGCTGGGTCACCCTGGACACCCCACATTTTCACTTGGGTACGGAACTCAGGGGGCGGACTCCTTTTCTAGTCCTTCTGGTAATCTGAGAGCTCCCAGGCCCACTTTTGTTTTCTTTTGCAATAGGAAAATCATAGTCGACTCCCTTTCACTGTACAAATAACTTAAAATGCAGAAGGAGGCTGTATTCCCTGGGGTTAAACACACACGTGCGCGCAGAAACAGGTGCAGTCTGAATGCTAACCTGGCCCTCTCCGCCAATATTGCTACAACTATCACAAAGGTTAAAAATGCACAAGGCTGCATTTCGACACCATCCTGTTTTCCAAGCAGGGGGCTTGCTACTTGGGAGGCTTGTCCTCTAGCTCCCTAGGGTTCGCGTAGCCCTGAGGGACAGGCAGCAGAAAAGCTGAAACAACACCACTACCCACAGGCCTTCGAAGCTCCCTGCTTGGGACACCCCACCTGCCGGGACTGGAAATACTCTTCTTGGGAACCACCTGGAGCTTCCCCGACCGCACCGAAGGCTCCTGAGTTTGTAGGACAGACTACCACAGTTCTCTTTGGCCAAAGCGTCCTGTGTATGCCCTGGGCTGAGACAGCTCCTCACGCTGGGACCTCTGAGAGTGTGTCCCACATCTGCTCGCCACCAGAGCCCCTCATGTCTGCACGGGCCAGGCCCTGGAGGGGAGAGATGATGTCACGGGGGGAGAGAGGAAATGCCAGTGAGGCAAGACGCCAGCCTCCACTACTCCAGGTGACACTGGCCAGAGGCATTTAGAGGTGAAATGCTTGGCCACAGGCAGCTGCCAACAGGACACAGAGCAGCCTGACATCCCCCTTGGCACTAGTCACACCAAGGTGGGCCCACTGTCAGGGTCTCTGCCAGCACCACTGCTAGCGCCCCCTTGTGGGATTAAGCGGGACAGACAGACAGCACCTCTAGAGCCAGACTTATCCACTCTTAGGAGCTGGATCTATGAGGACAGGGAGTGAGCCGGGGTGGGGGGAACCAACGCAACCCTTGCTTCCTCCTTCGGCTGCTACCTCAAGAGGCCTATTGACAAAAAAAGAAAAAAGTCTCCAGATCATTTGTGAAGGTAAAGTGCTTGGAAAAGCCCGGAGCAGTCGAGGCTGCATTTCCTTCCGAAGGCTGTGTGCTCCTGCCCCGGCCTGCCGGCACCCCCCGGGAAGTCTCCAAACCCACTCTTCTTCCTCCCGAAATCAGACTGAGTCAAAACGCCTACACAAACACCTTGTCCGTACAAGGATGAGTCTTTCGGGAACCTTTAAGTCTTAATGCATTTCAATTAATTACTAAGAAGGGACTACTAAAGCCAGCGAAGGCAAGCTAAGGGGGGCCCATGCAGCCCCGAGGGGCCTTGGACTGGCCACTCGGCGTGGCCCTGACTTTACAGAGGGGCAGGGAGCGGGGCACAGCAGCACATCCAGAGGTCGTGGCTGAACGCTTTAGGGGACGAGTTACCCGAAGGAGGCATTGGAGGAGGAGGGGCCCGCACACCCGCCAATTTGACGTCATTTCTCTGAGATGTATGCAGTAGAGACATGCACCATCACTGGGCCCAACAGTGGGGCTGGGGTCCGGGACACTCCAGCCTGCGTGACCTGTCCCCCCCGCAAAAAGCAAAGCAACATAGCTGTGCTTTGTTTAGTGACATCACCAGAGAGGCTGATGTCTCTCTCTCTCTCTCTCTCTCTCTCTCTCACACACACACACACACACACACACACACACACACACACACGGTGATCAAAACTGAGCCGGGTTTCTGAAGCCCCGCCCCCCAGCTCTTCGGGCTGGTGACATTTCACAGCACACGCTCAGACTGCGCCACGTCTCACAGCACCTCTCTGACGATCATCCAGACGTGCGTTCAGTGGCTCAACCAACAGCTGCTCTTCTCTGGAACATTCCAGGGAGGCAACCCACTAGGGAACCCCTTTGAGCACTGGCTGGGTAAGTGCCTGCCAGGCACGTACTTGCTGTGCCCGGGGAGACGGCAATGGAATGTGATTTCGAGTCGGAGGAGGCAGTAGGGAACACAGGACGGGAGGACAGAGAGAGAGCCTATGAGCCCATTTCAAGGTCAGTGCCCCAGAGCGACGGCCGGGAGGCAGAGGGAGCCAGGCTGGAATATTTACATGCGGGAGCCAGCATGCTGAATGCTTGCAGGTCAGACGTTAGCCTCCTTGGGCTGGTCTGCTGTGCCTGACTCAAACTCAGGGAGAAGAGCCGTGCTTCCCAGGCACCGGACTGAGATCGGGGGGGGATCGGCAGAGTCTGCAGGAAAGAGCTCCAAAGGGCTTGGGCTGCAGAGGACAAAGGCGCCCCCCAGTGGCTGCTGGGGGTGGAGGGCCCCACGTCCCGAAGCCGCTCCACTACAGGGCCGCGCACAGCTGCAGCCAGGAGCAGCCTGTGCCCCTCTGTCGGGAAAACTAGCTCGGATTTTCCTGTCCTTTCTGAAATAAAGAGCGGCACTGTTTGCTTTTAGAAAGGGCAGTTGTCTCACAGCTACTGAAGAAACCTCTTTTCCGAGCTGTTTCCTGGGGCAGACAGCCTGACGCTGCTCCCAGGGAGCGAGGGGCAGGACTTCCTCTGCGGCGGAAAGAGGCGGTGGTGGACCAGGATCTTCTCAGCGGGTGTGACAGGGACAGCTCAGGGCTCTCCCACAGGGTGCGCACAGCACTGCCTGTGGCCAGGCCCTCTCCCGCCCTGAATCAGGAGGCGTCTCCCTCCTCCCCAGGGTTCTCGTGACCCTGGATCCTGTCACATGGGGTGGGCAGCCAGGGAAAAGCCAGCCCTAGCGAGGATGCACACCGAGAGGGCTGCTGACGCTCCGCCCTGCAGGAGCCCGGACTGCGGGAGTCCGCCCCGTCCCAGGCCTGAAGCGGTGGGTCCCAGATCATCATCCGTGATGTCCCGTGTCACGGGCGTGTGGTGGCTCACGGCTGCCCTTATCTGCGCTCCCACGTGCACCTCGCCCTCGAGCTCCTGCAGGGGGCTATGGGCAGACACTGCCCCGCGCCCGCCCTGGCCTCCTTCCTCTTCCTTCAGGTCCTGATGCTCAGGAGTATGGACGGCCGCCTTGTTCTAGCCACCTCATCTCATCCCGGCGACACTTTGGCATGTGAAAGGGGGAGCAGACATAGGCGGAGGGAAGGTGGGGAGGACGGGCAACCGGAGTCTTCTAACCACTAGTTCTGGGGCAGCGCAGGGCGGCTCTGGGTGCTGCCGATGTCATGCAGGGTCATCGGGTGGGGTGGCAGCCAGTCGCTGGCCCAGGAGAGCGGTGTGGACCCTCAGTCCTCCTGCGGAATGCCTTGGGAGACCTCCCGTGGCCTACTCGGTGGCCATCTGCTCGATGTGGTCACTCAGCAGCTTGTATTGCTCTGGAAGAGAGACGGATGTCACTTTGGAGGAGAAAGACGGTGGTGCGGACGGGCAGGTCCTGCTCTTTGCACTGGGCAGGGACAAGCCAGGACCGCATCAGGGCAGTTGGCGAGGGGCTTGGGAGGTGCACGGAGACCCAGAGCCCCCGGCCCTGCATGCTGCACGTCAGGCATGAGCGTGAGCCTGGAAGTGGGCTCTGTGGGAAGGGGGAGCCCCTGCCTATGGAAACGGTAACACAGAGCGCGGCCCCGCAGGCCCTCCCAGAAGCGGGCGGAAGGCCCTGTGCGGGCAGATCAGCTGTGTCCCAGGAGCCGGACCTGGGTCCTGGAGATGGCATGGGGGCTGCGTGGTGGGGGAGGGGACAGTGTCTTGAAGTTTGCTGGTGTGGTGGGCGCTCCACCACTCTCCCGCCTCCTGAGGCCACTCTTTTGTAGCTCCTTCGCTTCAATGCCAGATGAAGTTTTTTTTTTTTTTTTTTTTTAAATATTGGTCAACCCAAATATACACTTAAGTGAAAGTCAGGGGACCTTGAAGAGATGCTGTTCGTAGAAGGTGGGGCGATGCACGAAGGTGGACCCCTTGTAGGTTAGGGGGCTCACATCAGCAACATGTCCCCTTTTGTTAGAGAAGCCAGAAACTCTGTAAACCTCAAAACCCCCTTTCCGCCCGCCCCACCCCCCACCCTGTCACAGTGGTGCGGTTGAAGAAACAAAGGGGGAACGTGGTGGCCATTTGGAAGGAGGGGCAACTCCTGGGGAGTTTGACCATTTTCAAGTTCAGCGTCAGAGCTCCAAGTTCCATCTTTACTTTTGTCCCTGACTATCGACCCTGAGCTGGCAAACTCCCCCGACCCCTGGCAAGTCCTTCCTGGCAGAAATGGATTTCCAAACAGTGGGAGAAGCATCTTGTGCCTTTAAGTAGACAGAATCAGAGGAGGAGTGACTTAACCCAATGGCTTCGTGTCCTATTTCTCACTAGAACAGGGCCGGCCCTTGGAGCAGAGGGGAGGCTCTGGCCCGCAGGGCGTTGATCCCTATCCCGCCAGCCCGGCCCGCCCCTGGCCTCAGCTCACCTTCGTCCAGGTTGCCGATCACAGCCTGCTTCTTCAGGAAGTCATTGCACAGCTTCCTGCTCAGCCCGAAGGCCAGCATGTTGTGCGTGAACGTGCTGGGGGGAAAAACACCCATGAGCCAGCGCCCCTCCTGCCTCCCCGGGGAGAGGGGAACTGGGCCTCGGGCCCTTCTGTCCTGGAGGCGCGATGTGCAGCCTGCCTGGGATGCACGTCAGACGGGAGCTGAAAATAGACTGTCGCTTGGTCAGGCAGCCCACACTGCTCACTGTGAACCTGCCCGCTGCCAGGTGTGGGCACAGGAGGCGCGAGAATTAGGAACTGGAATCCAGGCCAAATGCAGTGACTCATATGCTTGAGCTGTTTCAGACTTTACAGTTGTAGCGACACCGTGTCACGGATGTGTGACATCGTGAGGTAGGAGTGTCCTCACCGGGTCTGGGTGTCGGTGTCAGCGCCTCTGCCCTGCTTTCTCTTTCTGGGGGTGACTTGGTAGCAGGACGACATGGGTTCGGCCCCCCACCTCGTCCTCTGGGTCATGAGGGGTGGGGCTTCGGCCCCCAGTGCTCTCACCCCAGCTGCCCGAACGTGATGTTCTCGTTGAAGCGGAGGCTGTCGTCACGCTCCTCCTGGGTCATGTGGCACCACTTCTCCCTGCAAGCACAGGTGACAGGACAGGGCGTTCAGAGTGCCGCTGCGTCCCCAGCCACGCGCCCCACCCTGCTCTGACCTACAGGTGTCAGCGGCCCCCGAGCACGGCCTTCCTCCCGCAGGAGCGTTTGCTGGCTCTTACACGAAGCCCGCCAGAGCTCCGACACTCTGCCCGGGGGGCCCCCACACACCCTTGTTTTCGAGCCCTCCCTAGGGTAAGGAGATCCGGGAGCTCACACGCTTTCTACCACTGGAGAGGACGTGTGCTTAGTGGTTGCTAGGGCATTCTCTAGGAGATGAGGATCCCATGCCCTTCTCTACAGCTCGAGGTCACGGCCCCATGTTATGGGCAGAGAGGCGTGCGAAGAAAAGGACTCTGTGTGCCGCCCATGGGGGTGGACGTCCAGATCACCACGGGGAGGCTCTCGGGCACGGGCTGTGTCCCCAAGCCCCTCTGGTTTGGGCAGTCCTGGCTTGCTGGAGGGGGAATGGCCCACTGCAGACGACAGCCACGGGGAGCACTCAAGGGGGAAGGGCCCTTTGCCCACGCCGTCCGGCCAGGCAGCCTGGGCCATCACTTTCTCCCCCTGGCTTTCCCACCGCCAACGCTGACTCTCCACACCCCTCCCAGGGCGCGGGGACCAAAGTCACGTTCTCCCGCAGGCCCCGGTGAACCGTGACCTGTGCCCACCAAGAAGATGGCACAAAGCCTCCTGCACAGGTGTGAAGGCCCCACGAGAAAGGGACACAGTCAATGTGGCCTTGTGGGCGGGACCGAGAACAGAGCCGCCTGCCTGCTTTCCGTGGGCAAACACTATCGAGCAAGCGCAGGACCTGGGGAGGGGAGGGTGTTCTCCGGGGTGACATCAACTCTGTGTTCCTGCATGGAGGCTGGCCCCGTCGGCTCACTGCGGCGGGCTGTCTCCCCTCTCCTTGTCCCCGGCGGGCGGGGTACCGTCCCAGCCTGCACTCCTTCGTCCCCCATGCCCCTTGTGCCTTTCCGAGACGTGTGCTACTTGCAGGGGATGCAGATGGCGAGGAAAAGTCATTTTAGCCTCTCTCTCTTACAAACAAAGTGCTGCCTGATGAACCCGACTAACACAAGGTCAGGAGAAAGATCGGAGAAGAGGGAGAGAGGAGGCAGGATGAGGGACGAGGGGTTGGGATAATGGAGAAGCCAGAGGAAGAGAAACAGAACCGAGAACACCAGCACCTCCCCTGCCCTCCCTCCTGGCCCAGGGACCCCCGGCTGCGGCTGCAGCTTAGTGGGAGGGCGCAGGACGTCAGGGGCACGACAGAGGAGAGGAGAAGGGCAGCTTCTCGTCTGCTCCTGCTGACGACAGGACACCCATGGAGATACCCAGAAATGCCCCCAGCTCCTACACTAATCCCACCTTTCCCCAGTGGCCACTCTTAGGGTTGCCCTGGCACAGAGGCCCCCACACTACACCCAGGCCCACTGGGCCTGGGTGTACATGCTGCACCCAGCACAGCCCAGACCCCTTGGAGCCACGCGGCGCAGAGGCCCTGACTGCACCGCTCCTGGCCCGGGTGAGAGGGCGGTGCTTCTCGCTGTGACCAGGGGTCAAACAGGGACCTTTAATCTAACCTCTGAAGAAAGAGGTGGAAGGTTATTAGCAGTCAGTCGATCAGGTGGTGCCCACAGTCAAATCAACCCCTTTACATGGAGTCCACCACCCAATACCAGTCAAGGTCAAAACCCACAGATGGTGGAACGTGTGTCTAGACTGCTGCAGTGGGTATCGGGATGTGACCTACAGCCCGAAGGGTGGGAAGCCTGTCCAGGCCGGGTGGCTCAGCTGGTTGGAGCGTTGTCCCGTGCACCGAAAGGGTGTGGGTTCAATCCCTGGTCAGGGCCTGTGCAAGAGGCAACCAGTCAACGTGTCTCCCTCCCCGCCACTGCCCCCTCCCTAAAGTCAATAAAACACACCCTCGGGTGAGGATAAAGAGGAACAGGCAGGCTTCTGGAATGGAGATGTCTCCACCCCCGAGTGCACAGAGGACACAGATGGCACCGCCAGCGGGTTACCGCTGGGGAAAAATGACACTGGCAGCGTGAAGCTGCCGCGCAGTCACAGCCGACCCCCTGCCCCCAGTCGTGGAGCAGCACCTGCCGCTCTTCCGGGTGGGACCCGGGGCAGGTCCGAGATGTGCTCGGTCAGACCACATCTGCTCCGGGGAGAAGACCCGTGAGGCCCAGAGGCTGGACTCCACTCTCGGGCTCAGCCCTGACCAGCGGGAGGCCACAGAGCTGGGGCACTGGCGGTGACGCTAAGAAGACTCACTCCAGGAAGGCTGGTTAATCAATCACCTTCCCCTGAGAGACTGTAGGAACTCAGGGGGCTTCTACGGAAGGAGGTATTGCTTATGCCTAAATGCTCCTTTTAGAGCCATAGTAAGACCGCATAAGAAATCAGGTTTCTGCCCTAGCTGGTGTGGCTCAGTGTACTGAGCGCTGGCCTGCAAACCAAAAGGTCGCTGGTTCAATTCCAAGTCAGGGCACATGCCTGGGTTGCATGCCAGGTCCCCAGTAGGAGGCACACACGAGGCAAGCACACACTGATGTTTCTTTCCCTCTCTTTCTCTCTCCCTTCCAGTCTCTCTAAAAATAAATAAATAAAATCTTAAAAAATAACCCCAAGATTTCCCATAAAACAATAAGCACTAAAAAGACATCACTGATTAATGGAAGCATGTCTTAGGAAATTTTCACGGGGTGGGGGGAAATCATTGTATCAGAAACGATATTTTGAATAGGCAGGATTTTAACTCTAAAAACATATTACAAAAGCTGTCAAACAAATACAAAATTCAAACAGTGAGGGTCAGACCCCACTGCCAGGAAATAGCCTGGGTCTAGGCCTTTCTTTTCGGGGACCCCCTCACTCACACAGGCTCCCCATTAGGCTGGGAGAGAGCAGCGGCCCGCTCTCTGTGCCCCCCAAACCTGCCGCGGTGGGCAAGGGCCTGGTGGACCCCCGCACACCTCTGGGCGTGCGGCTGCAGAGAGGCGGGTCATCTGAGCCAGGCCTCCAGGGTGACAAGCGAAGCGGCGGGCGGTTTCAACGTCCGCCTGGAAGGGGCCCGAGGGGCCCGGGAGAGCTTGATTTGCTCAAAATCAAAACTGACTTTCTGGACTTCTCTGCTTTCTCCTCTCTGAACTCCCACTGGGCCCTCTGGGAGATCTGGGTGCCTTATTTGTTCCCTGTTTTGGGGTGCTCTGTCCTTAGAGAGGTCTCACCCATCACCAGCCTGTCCCAGCACTGAGCTTGCTTCCCAGGGACACCCTCACCGCTGGCCGCCAGCACGGAGTGGCACCTGGGTCTCTGGGTCTCTGGCCCCCCGCCCGCCCTGAGGTGGCCCTGGAGGGGACCCCCAGCACTGTAACATGAACAAAGTCACGTGGACACACACCTCTTCTTCTCCTCCTCTCCAGCATCCCCTCTGGAGCGGCAGCAGAAACAGGTCAACAGAGGAACATGTCAAAGTCATGCAAGATATGTGGATGGAAAAAGAGAACAAGCGAAAGAAGGAGGGTTATTACAGGCAGAAACGGAGGAGGACAGAGCGAGGCAGGGTACCGAGGCAGATCTGCTTCCTAGGAGCTGGAGAGCTGAGCCACAAGAGGAACCCCATTCGCCCACGGGCACCTGAGCGCGTCCTTCTGTGTCCTTTCCCGGCAGAGCCTGGCGTTCTCTCTAGAGTCCGTGGGGAGGGGTCAGCGCTCCCTCCCTGCACGTGCTCCCTCTGCCTGGCTGGAACCCCGTCACAGCCGACGGCTGGGGCTACAGGCAGGCCACCTCACTTGGCTCCCCTTGGGGGTGGTTGCCACCCAGGCAGGAGGATTTCATCTGAGGCTCCCCTCGTGCTAGTGGACCGCAGACTTAAACAGCAGGATCTGCTCTCTCTCTTGCCAGGGACGGAGGCTAAGAGGTCTCCCAGTGCTAGGGACCAGGGACGAGGGAGTTCATTTTGTCACTGAGGACAGGTTCAGAGGTTTCAAAGTCCCAGAACTGGGGGGCCCCTAAGGGTGCCCCGGGTCGGGAGGGCTGCTCCCCTCCTGCCCAGTGCTGCGCGCAGTGGGTGGCAACCTCAGCCCACTGGGACCAGGGAGAGCTGAGCAGCGGCCCCACGGCATCGGCACCAGCCCCTCACTGCCGCCATGTGCTTTGTGCAACGGGTCATCTGAGGGGTCTTCTGAAGTGGCAAGACCACGCACAGGGAGGCTGGGAAGGGCTGCAAACCAGAGGAGTTGAAAGCGGCAACTGCATTTCTCCAGATGTTAAAGCGAAGTCTGGGGATGGCGGCCAGCCCACACCCCCGGATCCTGCAGCAGTGGTTCGTGAGCAGGATTCAGACTTCTCACAGAGAAGGAATAGGCAGAGTGGCCCTGGGGGTCCTGATGGTCTCATTCAGCGGGAGTCTGCATTTCTCAGGAGGGTCAGGCCAGGTCATGCCAGAGCCCCAGCACAGGAAGCGCTCATGCAAGCCCAGTACCCCGCCGCCCATACAGCTCTGCACCCCGGACACTGCAGGCAGCTTGCAGGGCCCAAGGCCAGACGGGGTTGAAGGAGAAACACAGACGCATGGACTCAGCCGTTTCTTCGCTCTCCTCTTCAGAACAGGAAAAGAAAGCTCTCCCAGGTCCTCTTCCCTGAGGAAAGCCGGCCCAGACTTTGCTCCTACCTGGTCGTGGGGGACCGCTTTCTCCTCTCACAGTGGACAGCGTCGAAAAAGGCCGCGTTCCAGAACCTCAGCGTGTGCCTGTGAGACAGAGATGCATGTCACTTCTCCCCAAGCAAGGAGGGAAGGGCAGCTCTCGGCCCACTTGAGGGATGAGGGGGTGGGGTTTCCCACCACATCTGCGTGATCTGAAGGTTGCAGGGAGATGGGGCTGAGAAAATGAGCGTGGGCCTCTGCTCTACATCAGGTGCCTCCCTGGGGCTCCGGGCCGAGCACCGTGAGAGCGCCTGCACGTCTCTCCCAGGTGACACCACAGTGTGGGGGCAGGTGGGGTGGAGCTGGGGAGCCCCGGGTTCTTCAGGCCAAAGCTGAAGTTGCCACAGACAGGGTACAGACGGGGCCCCTTCCTGCTTCTCCCGTCTTCCGTCGAGGCTCCCAGGACAATGCAGGGGGTTCGGAGAGACCAGCTTTTCCAGAACAGGCAGCAGTAATGTGAACAGGAACCTGGCAGAGACGTGCTGAGAGCAAACGCGTTTACAGGGACACAGAGTGAGAAGCATTCCTCTTAGGGAAGGCCAGGGGTCGGCAAACCACCGATGGGGTAGGTGGGCCAAATCCGGCTGCTGCCTGCTTGTGTCAATCAGTGTTCACAGGAACTCACTTACAGATGGTCTAACAGCACAGTTGAGTGGTTGCCCGCAAAGCCCAAAATATTCATCACCTGGCCCTTCAGGGCTGTTGTCCTGTTGCAGCTAATAAGACAGCTCCTAAGTCAAGGCCCAGAGGTGCTGAGCTAAAATCGCTGGACAGGTGTGATGGGGCTGGCCAGTTCCCACTTCTCCCTGCTTCTTCTTGAGCCCTGCCCAGCTCAGGGGGCGCCTCCCCGTGGAGGCTTCTGGCCGGCTCCAGCCCAGCCCTCTGGCCAGCTTCCTCACTGGTCCTCGTCCCGCAGCGAGACTGTGATCTTTGAGGAAGGTGCACGTCTGATACCCTCTGGGGTCCAGGTGCCCACACACTGCCAACGGTGTGTAACCAGAATGTGGCAGTGGAGAGGCTGCAGAGGGGTCAGAGCCGCACAGGCGATCGTCCACAGAGCAAGACAGAGGGCGAGACCTGCCCCACCAGTCTCTCACTTCAACCTCAACCTTTTATATATAAAATATCTTCACTGGGATACCACTCACACACCAGAAAACTCACTCTTTGGAAGCATGCAGCCCGGTAGTTTCCAGTACATTCACAGAGCTGCGCAGCCGTCACCACTCTCTACTCCCAAAACGCAAGTGCTCTTGTCAGCCCGTAAAGAGACCCCAGACCCATTCGTAGTCGCTCCTCACTCCCCACTCCCCTCAGCCCCTGGTGGCCCCCAATCTACTTTGTCTCCAGGGATCTGGCCGTGTGGAACATTTTATATAAATGAAATCGCACTACGTAGTCTTTTGGTCTGGCTTCTTTCTCGTAGCAAAGCGTGTTCCCAGTCCCTCCATGCTGTGGCGGTGCCAGCGCCTCATTCTCTCACACGGCTGGAGGACACTCCGTGGCAGGGAAGTGTCACGTTTTGTGTGTCCGCACATCAAATGCCCGTGAAGATGAACATCAGAGTGTTCCCACCGTTTGGCTACTATGCATAGTGCTACTATGAACATGCATGCACTAGCTTTTGTTTGAGTACGTGTTTTAAAATTCCTCTGAGCACATCCTTAGGAGTGCCGTCCCTGGGTCACAGGGGAGCTCTATGTGTAACCTTCTGAGGACCTGCCAGACTATCTTCCACAGTGACTGACCCATGTGACGATCCCACCAGCAGCGCACGAGGGTCTCAATTTCTCTACATTCTCATCAGCCCTCGCTACTGCCCATCCCCGCTACTTGGCTGTCCTCACGGGCGTGTGTGACCCTCACTTCTGACGAAGACAAAGGCTCAGCGGCTGCTGCCCCGCAGGTAAGGGGGTGGGGGGCATACCAGATGGGCTGCTGCTTCAGGTGCGTGTACAGGTAGATCTTCTCCCCCTTCCTCTCCTCCTCTGGGCTGCTTACGGTCACTGCGGGAGGGGGAGAGAGACTGAGTGTGGCTCTGGCTGCACCCCCATGTTGGCAACCCCATGGCAATGCTGTGGAGGCCCCTGCTCCTCCCCAAGGGCCACAGAAACGCACGGTTAAAATTGCACGACAGCTTTTCTGCTGCCTGTGGGCAGTAATGACACTCCTCATCCCTGGCAAGGACCCTTTCTAAGGCAGGGGTCCCTGGAAGGCTCCTGCGGCCCCAGTCATACTTCCCTCAGCTTCCCTGGGATAAAGAGTTTAGTTCCCACTTCCCCTCCCCAGAGAAGTGGCTTTTCTCAAAAGTCCAGTGAGCAAACGGACAGCAGCTGAGGGTGACTGGGGAGTCCCCTCCGGCAGCACCTTGTGTGTGAGGTAGCAGAGCCCCGGGACGGTCAGGAACCTGCTGGTTGGTGCTGCCAGGGAGGGCGGGGTGGGTAGAGACTTCCTCGGGGACGGGGTCACGGGGACGGTAGCTGGGAGGCACTCACCAGTTTTCTGAGGCTTGTCCTTGGGCTTGCTCTCGTCCTCGCTGGGGGAGAGAAACCACAGACAGCAGTGACCCTATGACCCCCACACTCTCTCAGAGAAACATTTTACGTCGCTGAAACGGGATTTGGTGTCATAACCAATGTGCACATTTAATGTTTTTTTCTCTCAAAAAACTTCTATTCAATCAATGCTACATTGATCAATTGCCAGTCTTAGAATTTAGGCTTCTTTGTGCTGTTTTCTCAAATTTAAAGCATGTGGACCAGAAAAGGAATAAAGCCATGTCGCCTCATTGTAACCAAGCCGCTGGAGGTGACGGCAGGGACCCCAGGGTGCCCAGCACTGGCCCCGGGTCCAGAGCTCTCTTGCTGACGTGCTCCTTTCTGCAGAAGCTTTAGTGTCTACACTCCTGTTACCAGCATCCTGAGTTCCTGAGGGAGGGCTGCTGTCCTGGGGATGGTGGTGTCTCCTGAGCCTGCCTCCTTCCTTGTCACAAGCTCTCGCCACAGTTAGAGGGGGCGGCGGGGGCGGGAGGCTGTACCTTCCCTCCTACCAATTCCCATATGCTTCCCATCCGTCCTAGAAAACACCGACCCACAGGGGACATCCCTGCATGTCAACAAACAGAAGAGCGTTTGGAAACGCTACAAAAATCGGATGGGGTAGGGGCAGGGAGTCAAGCTGGGCTGGCAGCTGTGCCTCTCGGGAGCGGCTCTAGGCCCTGAAGATTCTTCCGCCAAAGGCGAACGGATTCTTCCGCTACTAGGCCAGGGCCTTCTCGGCCCCTCGAGCTTAATTTGACCTCTGCTGTTTGTCTCACCTGCATGCCCGCCCCTCCCCGCCGTCAGACAGGGACGCACACCAGGCCACACTTACTCATTTTTCCTGACCAGGGGTCCCTTCAGCTTGGTCTCCAGCCCCCCGAAGAAGCCCTTGACATTCTCCGTCTTGGCCGACGTGTTCTTCAGCAGCCTCTCGGCAATGTCCTTCTTCTCCGCTAACCAGCTGTTGGCCGACTTCAAGTAGGAGTCGATGCTCCCTGCGGGCTTCTCCTTGGACTCGGAGGGAAGCAGGTGCGGTTTGCCTGGAGACAGAGGGGGAGTAAGAATCACACTGTGCAGCAGCTACGTCAGACGGTGGAAGGGAACTCCTGTTAGCTGCTAGAGCTGCTCTGGTGTGGCCCGGAGACCTGCTTCCACAATGGCGGGGGCATGGCAGCAGGGGGAAGAGGCTCAGAGGCGCCCCGGAGAAGGCGTGAGCCTGGGCACCTCCTCTCTCAGGTCGGTCACTAAGCACTGACCGTACAAGGGACCAGCCCAGGGCCGCAGGGGCTGCAGGAGAAACAGGCAAGCATCCAGCCCTGAAGCAGCACGCAGACCGGAAAGGAGGTGAGCACTGCGCACACACAGTGAGAGCCCAAGGAAAAAAGCAGTGACGTGGCAGTGAGGCCCGGGGCTGGAGGACGTGTGGGGAAGAGTGTTTCCTCGTGGTGGGAGGAGGAGTGCCGTTATTCCAGACAGGCTTGAGGGCACCCGGGTGGGGCCTGAAGCCGCTGAGGGAGACGGCAGGAGGAGGGTATTCTGGGAGAAGGAACAGGGTGAGTGGAGGCAGCACGAGAAAGGGCCCTTTCTAAGGGCAGTATGTGGACCTTCAGGTCAAGACGCTCCTTGGACAGGCCAAGGCACTCCCCACAGGTCAAAGGGCCTCCTACAAACCAAAGTGCCCCCTTCAGACCAAGGCGTTCCTATAGGACAAGGCGCCCTTTACAGGTCAAAGGGCCCTCTACAGGTCAAGGCACTGAGTACCTCCTACTAACTGAAGCTGCTCTGTGTACAGGTCTGACTCAGAGCAGCAGCATCTAGCTGTTCTGCGAGAAGGAGGAGCCACAGGCTGGATGAGAGGTGCCCATCTGATCCAGAGACAGCCGATGAGGGGCCCAGAACCAAAAGCCTGCCCAGTGGTGGTCTGGCTGAGCTCAGGCCTTCGGAGCAGCTGCGAGGGGGATGGAGGGGGTGGCTGCTGGGCGCGAGGAGGGGAGGAAGCCAAGCTGTAGCGGACAGGGATGCACCACAAGGGCGAACCTGTGGGTCATGAAGGCAGGGTGCCCTGAACTGGCTCTAGTCCCCATGCAGGTGCCCAGCAACCTCCTCCTTCCGGTGGCCTGAATGAGACTCTGTTGTGGCAGCTTAAGACAGAAAGCCCTCTGTCTCCAATGTACCAGAAAGTTCCAATGGAATGAGCTAGAAGAGCTGTCAGAGCCTCAGCATCAAGTGCACACTCCTTATGAAGGCATCTCTAGCCCACATCTGGGACCCTCGGATCCCAGGCTGCCCCTCCACCTTCCTTCAGCAGCCAGCCCCGTGTTGTGTTTGCTAAAACCTAAAACTGACATCCTCACATGCAACAGTGTCTGCCATGAAGTGTCCTGCTGAACATGTTCATTCCCTCATCCCTACCAGAGGGTGGTTTCCTTCGTCCTGTGGGTGGTCCATCACCCGGCCCCCAACACAGACCACATCTCCGGCTTTGGGAATCTCACTCCTGGCTCATTCCCTCCCTAACATCAGCTTTTGCCATTTTCTGGAAGCCTGACAGCTTCGCCTTTAATTAGGAAGAAACCCTCATTTGGTGCCATGTTGGAAGTCGACAAGTCCCGGGTTTCCAGGTGTGCCCTCCATGGGAGCCACGCCCCCACAGCTCACCGATGTGGTAGTAGGTGAAGCACATGGTCATGAGGTTCTTGGCGGGCCCGAAGTCATCCATCTGATGGCACCTGAAAGGAGAAGCAAGGCTGACTGGCCACATAGTCATTCCTCTCAATTTTCTTACTGGAAATTCATGAAACAAGACCAAAATAGTTTGCAAACATGCTAAATGAATAGCTCACTCCCCAAATGCTACTTAGAGAAGCAACAGAAAAATCCCTCTTGGCCCGATTAGGTGAGTTACCCGCAGGCACAGAGCGGGAACTGGCTCTGACTCTGGGCCTGACCTCTGCATTGTCAAGCTGGAACAGCCAAGGCCCAGAAGCTCGACCCTACGTACAGGAGCACGCCAGCGCTGGAAACCAGGCCTCAGGTCTCAGGTCAAAGCGGGCCCTCCAGCTCCTGCTTCGTGGGAACTGGCAGTGACTTAGAGGACACACTCTAGTCAACGGTTCTCAGACGGACACAGCATAAGAATCACCTTGAAGGCACGGGAAGCTGTGGGTTGCTGAGCCTCCAAAAAGTGTGTGGTTTACAGGTCTGGGGTAGGTCCCGAGAAAGCGGATTTCTCACAAACTGTCTTGTGCAGCTGATGTTCCGAGGCTCCTGGCGCAGGGATGGCGCGTGAGGACCACCGGGAATACACAGGCTTCCCTATTCTACGTCACTTACTGATAGTCAAATTATCATGTGCCAGAACCTTTTATGTACTAAAGAATGTTCTACAAATATGAAGAATTATACTGACTATATTATATTATGCTTACTATATTAAACTTTATAGGATACACAGAGATCTACTCAACTTAGCAAACAATAAAGGGAGAAACTTCATGAAGAGGGCCTGTCTGCCACTAGGACTTTGCACTGTGACAGGTGCTGACGCTGCAGTGATGTCCCCTGAGGCAGTGGGAGTTAGAGAAGAAATGAAGAGGGATAAGCTCAATGCCGTTGACAGTGCTTGTGTTGAATAAGTTACGCTGCAGTGACATATTACAATACTCCATAGCCACTGCAGGTGCAAAACTGTAGGTAAATGCAATGCCTTTTTGAAAAAAAAATTGCTGCTATGTGCATCATTATGAGAGGTTTTTGTTGGGAGGTGGATCTAAAGTGAGAGAAAAGGGAGTGAAAGAGGATTTCCTTTTCTTTTTAATAAAGATTCTATTTATTTAATTTTAGACAGAGGGGAAGGTAGGAAAAAGGAGAGGGAGGGAAACATCAGTGTGTGATTGCCTCTTGCACGCCCCCTGCTAGGGACCTGGCCCACAACCCAGGCATGTGCCCTGACTGGGAATTGAACCTGCAACCCTTTGTTTTTCAGGCCGGTGCTCAATCCACTGAGCCACACCAGCAAGGGCGAGGCTTTCTTTCTCATCCCAGGCTTCTGTGTACCTTTGCATACTATTTCCCTTTGCATTTTTGTTTCCTGTTTAGTTTTTAACCTTGGACAAGCAATACTTCAAAACAAAAAGTCAACCAGAATGATCCAGACAGTGGGTTTGGGCCATTTTTGTCAATCTTTTAATATAAAAATAACTTAATAAATTTAGAGAACTGAACTACTAGTAAAACCATAAGAGGTTAAATAAAAGTATAAAAACTAAAGATACTAATAAATTTAACATTATATAAGTCATATTTTAAAAAATAATAAACATTTCAAAATATGAAGTTTTATATTATTTTGTTTGCAACCATACAAAGAATAAAATATATATGCTCACAAAGTAATGAAAAGATGTTGTGTTTTGGCAGGGTTGAAACTTGAATTGAATTTTTTCCCCCAAAGAAAACTACAAAGGACGTTGAGAATCAAATAGGTACGTGACCAGGTGAGTGAGGCAAATGTACACAAACTATGGGTCCATGACAATCCCTACGGATGCCCATGCCTGGAAGTTGAAATGTCTTCAGCACCTGAGCACATGCTGCACACAAGGCAACCTCGGGGCTGCTTTGCGTGAGCTCCCCGTGCGCCCCCAGCCGAGGCGGGCACACCCGGGCTCCCCCCACCAGGACTGCATCCTGCACGTGGGACACTCTGAGCAAGTGCAGGAAACACACTGATCCTCGGCTTTCTTGGTCACTTTCCTGCAGGCCACGCATGCCCCAGGTTCATGGCAGGACAGGTGAGGTGACACCAAGACACAGGGACATTAAGATCAAAGAGAAGAGCTACATTTCTGTTGTGAGAAGGAAGGGAAGGACAAAATGAACACGGGGACACAGGGAGGTGGCCATGGTATAAGCCATGGGACAAGGACCTGCTTTGAGGCCATGCTGAGGTGACGGGGGCGAAGGGGAACACAAGTGATTGTCAGAGCAGCCCCTTCCTCTCCCACCCACAACCTGTCCTGTCTACTGGATCATTAAAACCACTGCTTGGCTTCCCCAGGCTTAAATGGGTCCCTTAGATTCATCATGTGGAGGACACGTCACCCACTCTGACGCAGTCCTAGAGCCATGGGGCCTCAGGAGGAGAGCCCCCTGAGTCCCGGGCGTGCCCCCCACAGCTCACAGAGGCGGAGGGGCCCTGCCCACCACCCCACACTGGCTGAACGCCTTTGTGAGGAAAGGTTCCAGCAGTGCCAAATTCCTGCTCGGAGCAGGCTAGGGCATCCAATCATACCATTAAGTGGGTGGTTACCGAGTGTGAAGTACTTCACAACAGGAAATCAAGAAAATTCCAGATCTCTGACGGAGGAGGGTAAGGCCAACCATGTGTAATCACAGCCTGTCCTGAGGACCTGAGTGGAGGAATTTACTCACACCCAGCTGTGGCCCTCTAATCTCTGCTGTCAGGTAAGGGTTCTTACTAGCTCCCTCCCACGAGATGCCGGTCACGACTTCCCCTTGTAGCTGATGCTGGGTGTATCCCAGCAACTTCGAGCTGGTGGCTTGTGTGGCTGTTACTCACAGCTGGGTCATTATCATTACAGAGCAGGGCAGGGAGGGAGGTACAATAGCGTTACTTACTCGAACAGGACCACTGCAAAAGACTGCACCAGGCGGTAGAAGGTTGCCTCTGAGACACACTTGGAATTGCAGCGCTGTCAGGAAGAGGGCAGACACGTCACCGGGGCAGCCAGGTGGCAGATGTGCACAGCAGCTCAGAGAGGCTACAAGCTTACCATGCTGAGCACCCCGCAAGGCAGCTGGAATGAGAGCCCGGGACCATAGCAGCCACCCCTGATCTGCGCAAACCAGGACCCCAGCACATGACCGTAGCTCACTGGGGCTCGGGCAGATGTCTTCCTGTGCTTCCTCCTCATGGGATTCTAAAAACTAGGAACTTCACACACTCACCAACACACGAAAAAGTATGGAGGGACGAGACCCTTGGTGACAACACTGGCTACTTCTGGACTGTAGACTTATGAGTAGGTTTTCTAATGTTGCTTACAAGCATTTCTAATTCTTTGAAGAATAAATTATTTGTGATAAAAATACTTCAAAAACTAAAAACTTAGGCCACTTTACAGAAAAAGAACCTATTGGATATTTACAAAACAATTCTTTTTGGACTTACAGGCTGTCAGTGTCTTGAATATATCTCTAGAAAAACTGATTTTTTTGTGGGTTATTTAATACAAATACCTATGGATGTAACCCACATGCGTGCCGTTGAAAGCCTGACTGCTCTGGAATGTCATGTGGCGGACAGGCCGGTTTGCTCGCCCACCCCTTCCAGGGAGACACACGAGTGCGCTGCCTCCCTCTTCCCACCGTTCTGGACAGGCCTTTTCAGAACACCGTGAGGTAAGAGTCCCCATTTTTCCCTGCTGGGTCATTTCCCTTGCCTGTTTTCTCCTGAGTGGAGGAATTAAAAAGAGAGAGAGGATGCTACACACCACCAGCCCCCTCCCCAGCACCTCCCCTTTACCTAGGCACTCCCCCCGGCACCTGCCCTTACCTGGGCGCTTACGAATCGAGCAAACCACTCCCGGCCTTTTCCATTTTCACTGCTGCAGTACTCCCCAAACTTGGCTTTCTCCTCCTGGTCCAAGTCCTCCCTGGAAAAAAAGAGCAGAGGGAGAAAAAACAACTTTAAATCCTCTGAAATTAAAAAAAAAGGTAGCAATAGGGGGAAGAGGAAAGAAAGGAACAAACAGGTGTCCCACCCAGCTGAGTCCGGCTGCCTGACCCACACCCGTTCATCTCGCCCTCTGGGTCACCCCTTGAGGGAACGGTGCCATTTCTGCTGCGCAGGTGAGGAGACTGGCCTGGAGGGTCCGACACAGCTGTGACTCCGTCCAGACTTCCTGGCTCCGAAGCCCCTGTTCGTCCTCCCTTGTCCTCCTGCCTCCAGTTAGGTGGTCTGGGCACCAACAAGGGTGACATCCCCCTCCTCTGAGGACTTGGTTCTGTCGTGTGGCTCACTAGTCTTCGGTGCTGAAGCCAGCCAGCATGGATCCGCCCACTGAACTGCAGAATGCCGCAGTCTCAGTAGGACACCTGTCTCCAGTGCCACCTCCCACCAATCAGAGGGAGGGCGTGGTGGCTGATTCCTTGAAGCTTTTGACTAGTCAGTCTGCTGACCTCTATCCAGTCTGTGCATGAGGGGTAGAGACTGGGGGACCACAGGGAGTCCCTACCTCCAGAGTGGACAAAGTGCTCACTGGTCCCAAACCACTTCTGATCCCTCTTCATAGGGGGCCAACACTTCACCCAAGTTTAAGGACTACAGATAGGAAGTAGGGGCTGAAGATCAACTGGCTCATGCAATATTTCATTTATTGAAGGTTCTGTAGAAAACATCTTGGTCTCATTTATCCCCAAACACCAGATGAAATACAAGAATTTGCCAGCCATTTGCAGGGCTCTTTGGAAAGCTCTTGAAAATGCATCCGCTCCAGTTGTCCAGGTTCCATGCTGCCGACAGGCTGCCGCAAATACAGACCAGCCTTCCTGGGAAACTGACAAGCTTCTGGGCTTCCTTCCCTTTTCATTAACTGGGTGTGCTCAGAGAAATAGCAGCGCTACTCAAACTAAGTAAGTAGGAGGCCACATCTACTGCTGTCCCAGAATGCATTAAAAATCAAACAGAACACATCTTTGGATAGTCCAAGAATTGGATTATCATTTGAAATTCTCCCTTTTTTAACTGCAAGGGAAATGGAGGCCTACCTGAAAAAGGCAGACACCAGCTTTGCCAGGTATAAACAAGGGACCTAAATCATGATAGAAAAGAATATGTTCTTTGCAGAGAGTCAACAGGCAGAAATTCTTACTGCTTTAATGGAAATGGACAATCTGCCCCTCTTCCAGGGCTCCCCAGATGGTCACGTGTGAGTAGTCTAGCGGCCTCGTTAAAAGGCGGATTAGGACTCAGTGGCGCTAGGTGAAGCCCAAGGCTCTGCTTTTCTAACAAGCTCCCAGTGACGCTGGTGCTTCGGCTCTGCAGGAGGCGGTCTGAGTAGTAAGAACTTCAGCCCTGAACACGCTGCCCTGAATGATGCAGGACTGCTGCTGAGCCCCGGCCACCCACAAATTTGGGCTTGTTTGCCTCCTCTCACCGCTGGCTGAGCTATTAATACACGAGGGCAGGAGAGCTACAGGTCTGTCCACAGACTCCTTGTTCCTCGGTCTGCGTTCCACCTCCCACTCCTGCTTCCTGCTGCTCCAATGGGCAACGCTGCTGACCTGCCCCTTCTGGAACCTCGAAAGAACGGCCAGGAAGAGGTGTGAGGAAGAGTCACCATCCCAGCAGCTGCTTAAGGCTCAGCTGCCCAGGAGCATCACAAGGAGCACGGGGTACTGAAACCTCTTGCCTTCTATTGCCCCTAAATTGAATGTCAGCTAATAACTGCAGCCCCCTAGTCAAGCATGACTCGGACATGGAATGCCAGCAAGAAGTGAACCTGAAAGTGCTCAGATCCTAGGGAAGCAGAGCTAGTGTCCTCTTGGATTCAGCAATGATGAGGAGAGCGACAGTGGAGTGGCCACAGCACTGGGGGGAGGGAAGAAGGGGTGAAACTCCCACAGCTGGTTCTGTCTGCAAGCTGGGGTGGGGTTTTGAAGCACCAGGGAGGCCCATCACCGGCCGGTGAGGGGCTGGCAGCCCTGGCCCTAAGTGATGCTCTTCTCTGGGACAAAGGCAAGAGCAGAAGCCCTGGGGGCTTACCCTCCAGAGAAGATCTTCTCCACATAGCTGCGCATGAACTCCCTGAGCTCCAGGGCCTCCTCATCCTTGGCTGACTCTGTGCTCTGGTTGGAAGAGAAGGACTCGTTGGAGGAGGAGCGGTGGTACTGGTCCCAGGATGGGTGTGAGGGCGACTCGCCCATGTCGTTCTCGCTGTCTGCCGACTCGGTGGTCTCACTCTCTGACCCGCCGTCACCCTGGGAGCTGTCCCCATCCTGCAGCTTTGGTGGCAGTGCCTCCATGGGTGAGGAGGTAGATGGCTCGGTCTCGAAGTCAATCAGTGAGCCCACAGGGACCTCCGGGGCCTCCATGGCTCAAGTGGGCTGCCGAGGAGGGCACCAGGTGGGTAGGCCAGAGGACTGGATTCCCGGAGCGTCAGTGGGAGCTGGAGACCACGTGGGAGCCTGCTGAGCACATGTGAGTTGCTTGGAGACTTCTGGCCACCAGGGATGAGTCCTTCGGGGCAGCTCACGTGGCCCTAAGGCATCTAGAGCGGAAGCACATAAACACAATCAGTGGGAGAGCAGCTCCTGGAGGGAGGGAAATTCAGCACTGGTGTGAGGGGGATCCAGGCTTCAGTGAGTGACTTAGGTCCAATTCCCCATACAGAGAAGAGGCTCCAAACTCCCAGCATCTGGGTCGTCTCTACACTACAGTCATTTTCCCCCTGTCCACTTTGCTGTTAAACACCTGGTGCGTACACTGTAGGCACCGAGTAAGTACTCGTTGAATAAATGAACAAGTAAACACCAACGATCGGGATTTCTCCAAGCCGAGCAGACAGACCACAGGAGGGCTGCATCTGCCGGCCCTCTCCCCACTGCAGTCTTCCACACGGAGGCCCATAAATAAAGGCCTGACCCAAGCTGGAATCAGAGTCACCAGAGACACGCCTGTCATCCACTGGCACTGGGACCAACAGCCATGGAAGACGGGTGGCATCGGCCGGATCAGGAAAAGAGACTTCAGCTAAGCACAGGGGCCCCTCGCCTCCTAGGCCCACGTCTCTTCCTTCCTGGCTCCTTTCCTAACATTCTTTCCTTCGAGACCCGGAACCTTCCCAGGCTTCACATATGTCGCTTCTCATCGTCCCTCTCAAAACCCCCGATGACTTCTAATCGTCTGGATCCAGCCTCTCCTTTCCACGACTTCTCCCTGCACTGCAGCCACCCTGGACGGTGACATGCGCGGTCTGGTGTCTGTCCTTCTGCACCTTGGGCTGGGCGGTCCTCTGCCTTCTCTTCTATCTTCCCCACCCAGAATCCTATCCACCCCTCAAGGCTTGGCATAGTAGCGGCTCTTCTGAGAAGCTTTCCTCAAACCCTATTCAAAATAATTTGCTTACTGAGTCCTCTGTGGGCCCTGGCATTTTATTTACACTCATTTGTAATTCTGCTTGTTTGACAGGTAAGTATTAGTATTTCCGTGAATCCCACTAAAGGATAACCCCTGGAGGGTGGGCTAGGCCTTAGCCACCTGTGTAGTAACCCGAGTGCGCTGCACAGAGTCTTGACTAAATAAGTGTTTCCTGTGTTTGTTGAGTGATGGACAGACCTGACCACGAACATGCTGTAGGATCTGGGGAGTCGACAACACAGGCTGCATGGCGGCAGAGCTGGGGATAGGATCTCTGCTTCTAAACCAGGTCTCCTGACAGCCAGTTCAGGAGTCACCTGCCAGTTCCGGGGCCCACCCTCCCCAGTGGTGAGCGGCAGACAGTGAAGTAGGAAGCACAAGCCCTCTGGCTGCCACAGCTCCTCCAGGCGATAGCACAGCTGAACCGGGGCCACATCCCTCTTCTCCCTTTTTTACAGACCCAAGGATGTAGGACAACATCTGGCAGGCAGGTGGCTGCTGATATTGATGAACTAATGCATCTGAGGGTAATTTAATATCAAAACTGCATCTAATGCCTGTTAAGAGCTTAATATTCATAAATTGATTACGGGTTCCTCTGAATTCCCCAGCCCAGGATATTTTTAAATGCCCTGAGTCAGAAAGATGGACTGGCTGGCTCCTTGTCACGGGAGTGGCAGCCACCACCCTCAGCAGAGTCCTACAAAACTTGCCTTCGTCCAAAAAAGAGATGCGAGGAAGAACTTTCTGGGCCAGGAGAGCCACAGGGGCTCTCAGGAGCTCAGACAGCAGCAGCCCACTACCACACAGAGGGCTGGAGATGAAGGGGTGGCAGGCGGGGCTCCAGCAGCCCTGGCTCCCCGCCCACTGGCGATGTCGGTGCGCCAGGCCTCTGCTCTCTGGGCTGCGTCTGCCCCTGCCCCTCTGAGATGGCAGGGCCTGCTCCGATCTCTGAGGTCCTTCCGGCGGCTGCATTTCCGGGCTCTCCAAAGAGCAGAAGAAGGTCACACACACAGTAACACACCTGATATTAAAGTGGACACTCACACACTAGGAAAATGTTTGCAGCCACTATGATAGGAAAATTGATCCAATCAATTAATGTGATAAATTCACCCAAATCCAACTAAAAAATCTATATTCTAATAAATAAACAAGCTACTCAGACAGGAAAGGCACACAAGAGGAAACACCATTATTAAATGCTTCAACAATTCTTTGACCCAGACTAGTAACCACATACGTAGATAGGTAAATTCAAACAATTAGGTACCATCTTATACTACTAAATTAGCAAAAATTGAAAAATTATAATCCAAATGCTGATGAGGTTATGATAGAATTAATATTCTCAAACAATCCTGATAATAGGGATATATATTTTAGAAAGCAATTTATACAATTCTTATTTTTCTCTCTCTGATCCAGAAATTTAAATGCTTGGAGCTTATCATAAGAAAATAATTCAAAATACTGAAAAACAGTTATTTGAAGAAAAATGCTCACTGCAACAGTATTTCTAATCCTGATAAATTGGTGGTAAAATCTAAATATAGTAAAATGGCAAATAAGTTCTAACAATTTGATGCAACAGTAACCAGTGTTCATGCAATAAGAACACAGTTAGAACATCATTGAATGTTCACTTCATAGTTAAGTAAACAAAATATTTTACAGTCAACAAATAATTACTTAGCCCTACGGCATGCCACCCTCTGTTCCGGGCTCCAAGGCTACTGAGTGAGCGAGCTGTAACTTCACTGTAACCATGATCATGCGCACACATGGACAGTGGCCGGGAAAGGACGGAGTGTGTTACAGGGCGGGCACAGAGGCAATCTCCCCTTTTTAGCGTGTTCTTTACCACAACAATGCAGTCTGCAATAAATAAACATTCAGAGGAAAAAGGGAACAAGTATCTTGCAATAGTTCAAGTGGTCGGAAGGGCTGTGTCTATTTACCAAAGCAGAACCCCCACACGGCACAGGACGTGCCAGATCAGCCCCGATTGTCTCGGCTATTTCTGGGTGAGCCTGAGGCTAGTGAGCAGCTCTCCCAGTGCCTTCCTAGCTAGAAAATTCTGGGAGTGCATGAGTCATTCTTTCCCAGAAGCCTCCTCTGTGGGCTCAGGAAGGAGGGGACAAAGTGAGAAGACAGGCACCAAGAGAGGGCCCAGTCCTGAGCACCATGAGGGCACTGTGGCTGCAGCCTGCGGGCCCTGGGGTCCCATGCACTGTCATCTCACGCCACCGCCCCTGGGCCCCCAGCCCAGGCGTCTGGTGTCTCTTGGGAGACAAGGCAGGGATGCCAAGCCTGTTCATGGAACTAACAGCAGGGTACAGGGGCCCCTTGTGCTAAGGGCCTTGAAGCCATCCCACCCTTTCCTCCAGGAAGGAAATGTGTGTAATCACGGGCCTCTGTGCAGGACAGGGTGACGGTCACTCCGAGCATGCCAGGATCGCACACTTCAAGTGACTACCTGTGCTGGGCCAGCCGGAGGGCACAGAGGAAGAGAGCCCAGCAGGGACTGACCCCATTGGCTATGCTCAGGACCAGCCAGGTGCTGCCATGCAGGGCCGCAGGCCCAGTGGTATCAGACCTAAAGAGTTTTCCAGAGAATGCTGAAACCTACTATGTGAAATCCTCTAGTTCTTCAACCTTGGCCCCTAATTTAAACTTACTTCACAACACATTGTGGGCCAAAGAAACCACATCTGGGGATTGCCTGCCCCCACCCCCCCCCCATCCATTTGCTTGTTTTGCACACAAGGAGGCCCCCAGACCTACTTTGGATCCACATTCTGAGACTCAAGGTTTTAAACTATGGTGGAATCTCAGCAGTTCCAGAGTGTGGATATCAAAAACTCTTTTCTACGGACTGGAAGCAGAACAAACCTTTCCACAACTTGCACTACTACAATTTATTTCCGAAACCTTATGGCACGAGTTCCTACCAACCAAATCAGGCTAAAATTCCAAGTCAACCTGTAACTTCCATTGGCTTTAACCATCTATTCAGTCAACAAATATTTATTGAGCAGCTGTGTGCATCAACCACTGTGCAAGGAGCTGGGAACACAGCCATGAACAAAGCTGTGTGGAGCATCTGCTTGTGTGCGTCTGTGTGCCGGAGGGCGGGGGAGGGAAAAAGACAGTTAATGAAATAAAAACCCAGAGACAGTCTCAAGGTGATGCCCTGAGAGAGCTGGGAGGGGAGGCGTCTTTGGACTGGGGGTCAGGGAGGCAGATGCCTGAGCTAAGATGGAAGATCAGCCGGAAAGACTCGAGGGTCTGCTGAGCAGAGGAGAGTGCTCTGGGCAGAGGGAACGGCCTGCACAGGGGCCCCAGGCAGTGACGACTTTGGAAAGCTCGGGAACTGGTAAGGCTGATGGGGTGGAGAGCAGCTGCTCTCAGAGAAGAGGTTTGCCAGGTGGGCTGAGCCAGAGGTGCAGGGAGGGGGTGCCCGGCACAGTGGGAGCCTGGAATGTGTTCTAAGGATGCAGGGCAGCCGTGAAGGGGACTGAGCACAGGCAATGGTGGAGAACAGGAGAGCAGAGGGGCCAGGATCACATTCTGGCGGAGGTTTCCTGACCTTCAGCCTTCACCTTCCGCCCAGCCGTTTCCCGCCACAGCGGGACCAGCTGCAGAAGGAACTTGGAAGAAGATTGCCTTCTTGTGGCTGCTTAGCCACATCCCCAAGGGGCTTTGCTCAAACTCTGATTTCCCCAACATCCCTGGGCAACCAGAGGTAGGACTTCCTTAACAAGTTGGCCTTGAGCAATCAGAGGAGGTTCCCTGGGGGAGAATCCAGAACTTTCTGTAACTCTGCTCCTGGCCAACAACCTCAGGCACCCCTCTCTCTCTTACTGTTCTGAAGAACTCAGACATGCTGCTTCTCCCACAAAAAGACTTCGAAACCTTTCCGCACCAGCACACGTGACACACACGGGCTCATGTTCACGTGCACCTGGCCTGCCTCTCCTCTCGCATCAGCAAACCAGGGCCTGGAGAGGTGAAGCAGGGGCCCATCTACACCCAGCTCGGACGGGATGGAGCACGGAACCCAAACACAGCAAAGCCCGTGCTCCTGCCCACCATGCTGCCCCTGCGGCTGCTTCCCTGATGCTTCCC